ATTTTTCCGTGAAAAATCCACCTACAAAATGTGACATCATTTAAGAGCATAACTTGTTTTATAATCCCCCAAGTAACCGCTTATTAAATCCAGGCTACGACAGAGCGATAGAGCGATTAATTGGTTAAGACGACGACAACGACAGCTTTGCATGCATTGCGATGGGCCAACAACAAGCAGTTGGCAGCCAAGTTCATTCAGAGATATGCTGCCGAGTGCCAGCTATTGACCCGGATGTCTGCCACTTGGTAGCTTCTGGCTGGCATTTGAACCTTTGCCAAAGGCACACACTCACAAAAGATACATTTGGGTGGCGGCCAGATTGCAGCATAGGAAAAACTATATTATTTCTTTCTAGTATGAAATATCAATCGGTTCATTGTACAGGGAGGTGTCCGTGAAATATTCGCATATTCAGTTTATTTCTCAGCGCCTCATAAGTCAAGCATCATTCAATGGACCTAAGCGACGTGACGTGATAACCGGTTGCTGGTTGTGTTTGCACTTGTATCTCTGTATCTTTGTATCTTTGTATCTCTGTATCGCTGACGACCTTCAGATGCGAATGCGGAGAGCACACACATGTAACAAATATGTGTGTACGTATACGTGATGTGTGTTCTGCCACAGGAGCAGCAAACGGTGGCACTCACTCGTATTTTCCCAAAGACCCAAGCCAGAAGAGCCAGAAGAGCGATGCCGTCGGCGCGGCTTAACTGCGAATGCGAGAATGTTTTTTGCTCTGCAAACAGGTTTGAGACACGCTTTCGGGGCGGACTTAACTTTTTGGTCCGCGTGTGTAAGCTCATCCAGAGATATACACGGATTGGGCAAAACACGACTGAGATACATTATGACTGCCCGAAAAGATGTTTCGTTTCATTTAAATATTGCACAATATGCTGGCTTACGAGGCATGTGCGTGAACTTCAGCCTGAATGGCGGTCTTAATCAAGATTTTTAGTATAAGAATTGTTTTGGTAAGAATATTATGATATGTTCTGAGTCTCGTGAGCATTTTCTCTTGAATTAACTAAGAATTAAAGGTTTTAAAAATAAGTAGAAAGATAATTGAGAGTATAGTTCAGCTTCTCAAGATCAACCTGACGAAATCCTGCTTTATATCGCAAGACCAACCCAAACAACGCCTAATAATTTTTATTTTCTTTATAAAAATATAGATAAATCTTCAATAACTATCAATAAGCTCATTAGCTTTTTCTATAAATATATCATAAATGAACACTTTACGATGGTTTCCCTAATCAAAAAGTCAAGATCAATTTCATAAATATTTACCCGAACCAAAAGTTCAATATACTCTTTTATTTTGACAAATATTCGAATTTCTATGAATAAGTCAATAATGATTGAATCAATTTCCTGGCAATTAGTCGCTTAAAGAGTTCATACGCCTTCGGTAAAATGACACTTTATTTCTAGGGAAATATTCACGGTCAAGGCTGTAATATACTGAAGCTTAAAGAGCTCGAAGCACGAAGAGCTCCATTTGTTTTTCTCGCCCACGGGGATCAATAGACCATTGTGGGACTTCAAGAGCAATTCGCATTGTTTTGTACTTATTTTGGTCGGCAATTACGCATTTGTGTATTGTGGTCATTAACGTAGTTTTGTCATCAAGATAGGCTTGGTCTGTTGACCCGGTATTGTACCAATTTAACCTAATGCACTTTTCCCATTAGAACCTAATCGAGATGTCCCTCATATGGGGTTATTCCTTGTTTTATGCTCGAGGGTTCATAGATTTTAATTAAGATATGTGCGAGTAAAGAAACCCTTTTAAATGTGCTCTTAATTTAAGAATAGGCAAAAGGCTCTTAATGTATATATTACCTTCTTTTGAAATCAGGGAACACCCTGCGATGGCCACCACAATGATGGTGAGCAGTAAGCTCCTTCCTCCCAATTTTCCGCAGTGTATTATCCGACTTTCGTGGTTGTGATGGTGATAAACCATTGCGCAATCAACCGCCTAAACGGCAGCCTGCCAGATGTCCGAGGACTGAGACAAGGTGATGAAATTTTAATTAAAAATGGCTGCGCATCGTGGTGAAATGAAATCAAATAACAAATATATTGTGGGTGGAGTTTTTTTTTTTTTTGCAGCTGTCCTGCGAGTTTCCGCGACATGTATTTTAATTGGTATTAATGACAGACAACACGTAATTAAAGCGGCGAAACAAATTTTTCATCTCTAGTTTGGATGCCATTGTCCCGGAAATGTATCAACAAATATTATATATATATATATATATAATATCACTCTTGATATAATGCCAATGAACCAGGATATATCTGTGGAAATATTTGAGTGAAGGGCACACATCTCACACACTCTCAACTAAAAGAAAATATAAGTTGAGACACTGAGCGTCATGAAGCGGGTCGGCATCGGCGATTTCTCTTTTGACGTCTGTCGGGTGCATGGCGCAATAGCAAAACAAAAAACTGGGACCGATATACCCGTATATATCCACATATATTTATACATATACAGCAGGGAACACTCTCTTAGCTTTGTGTTTATTTTAACAATTTATTAGGGATATAAAACTCAAGTCAGGGGCAAGCAGCACAACAGGTGTTGAAATTAGCAGCTAGATTATATAAATTATTTAAATTCGGGCTGCTTAAAGAGGTCACTCTATTTTGGTAGCACATGAGTCACCTCTACGCACATTTGAAAGGCTTAATAAGCTGTTGACTTTCCAGCCATTATAATTATTACTTTTATTTTAGGGTGGGATTTTTGCGCCGATGTTCACACGCATATATATATGAATATGAATATATATAGATTGTACACAAAGCCACGGAAACTGGTATCCAAAAACTTTCACGGGTTGCGTTTCGGGCGGCGATCCCCAAGCGGTACTTGGCTCAGTCGTTGCGTTTAACCACTCGGCGCACTGACAACTGAGGCTATAGTTATAGCCAAAGCTATAGATGGGATCGCCCAATCCACAAAGATCTCCCGGATACTCTCTCTTTCTTGGAGCCTCTCTCTCTCTCTCTTGGCGTCTTTCTCTCTCGCATAACGAAAAACTTGTTTTGGCAGCCAAAAGAAACGAACTTGAACTTGCTCTCTTGTGGATCGCATGCTCTCTCTCTCTCTCTGACTCTCTCACTGCTGCTTGTGGAACTTTAAATTATTTATTAATTGAATTATCAGTGACAAGCTCACACAAGTATCATTCATTGTTTGTCAACAATATTATCAGTTTAACAGTGACTGATAAGAAGGGTAGTCTAAAAGTGAGAGTTAAAAGCATATTTATACACTTGCAGGTTAATTTAGTTTTGGTCAGAAGCTTAAAACTCAGTAATGGAGTCATTTCCGGTCCTATAAATCAATATTCTTCTTCAGAATTAACAACCGAATCAATCTAGCTATGTCCGGAACAAATTCATATTTTTTTAAAATTTTCTAAATTTTATAACGGGTTACATTGCTAAAATTATCAAGAATTAAAAACAATTTTTGAATTTTTTTAATTGTAAATTGAGTATTTAGATTTATTAGCCTAATAAAAACTAACACATAAATACTTTCCAAGTAAGCATTAATGCTTTTTTGGCTTAGCTATGAGTTTTTTAAATTTTGGTGTATCAAGAAATTGTCATATAAAAAATACCTATAAATATTAAATGAAAAAATGCGAATTTTTTAATCTTACTTATGATCGATTTCCGAGTCGGACCTGTAATTTTTTAATTTTATTCCTACAATCCAATATAAATATGGGTTTTAAAAGATTATTTTTAATATCCACTTAATATAAAATATTGTTGATAAATTCGTTTCAATTACTTACCATAAACAGTCCAGTTTAGTAACTTAACCCCAAGCTTTTGTCTTGGGTTTCCCCCCCTTCATTTCCATGAAACAATAGAGCTTTGTCCAAAATACTGATTCACTAATCAAAGCGTTTATCTGTTTTGAGACCACAAACTATCATCGCGGTCGATTGCAGTAGCAGCGTCGCCCACGACAACGCCAAAGTAACAACCAAAACAAATCCACAAAGCTTTGCCAAAGCACCTTATTTACCCAAGTGCAGCATATTTATTTTTGCCCAAATGCAACGCCGCGTCACGTGGATTTCCCAAAAGACAAAACTAAAAAAAATCAAAAACAAAAACAACCGAAAAAAATCCATGAAAATCCATTCACAAGTCTTGGACATTTCAAAACCTGCCAAAAGTCACCGCCAAATGCGAGAAATAAAATAAAACAGAAAATAAATAAAAACCCAAAACCAGGCAAACTGAGCTCATAAAGCCAGTCGTCGATTGCTGACCGACTGGACTGGATGACAATTCTATTGGATAAACATAATAATTTTTAAATCGAAATATATTGCTTAAGCTTATGGATATCCAATTGAAGGCATCGCAAAGGTACGAGGTATGAAAAAGAGATTCTTATTGCATCAATTACTCAATGATTGAGATTCGGGTTGCATTCGTGTTTCCGCATTTTGGTATATTTTCCACAGAATAGCTGAGTTTGTGTAAAAGTGTGTAAGCTCTGATTTCAGCACATATCAATTGTGTTTTCCCCCACACCGGAAAAGTGAAAAGCGAAGAGTGGAGAGCGCTTTTGTGTTTTAGTTTGCCAGATTCGTGCTAAGCCGTGGGTGTCCAATAAATTCATGAGCATATTTAATTTAAAGTGAACTGCACTGGGAACTTTAGGTTTTAATTAAATAATATTACTCTAATATTATTTAATTCTCATAAAAATTAAATTAGCTTGCGGAGGTCTTTAAAATTACTCAGTTGACAACTTAAGTAACACATAAAACCCCCAAAAGATGCTCCAAAATCGACAAGATAGCGTCATTTTTGAATCATAAACAATACAGCCATACAAGTAGTGATAACTAAGCTGATAACCCACATGCTAGTCGATAAGGTCTGCTATATTCATTGGAACTGAATGGCACTGATAAGGCCTTTGGGTCAAACACGAATTCTACAAACCAAAACAACACCAAGAGCCAGTTGGTTCGCGTCTCTCACCCAGATAACTCGATGTGATTCCCGGGGTTTTTATTTGCTAATTAAAAGCTCGCTTAACGCCACATACACATTTTCAATCTGTATTATATTATGTACTCGATGCAAGCAAAACAAAAATTGACTGCATTTCGCACTCAAAATTGAATGTATACAAAGTGAAGCTGTGCTTGAAACAGCAACAGGTACTAAATAAATCAAATAGAAATGGATATATTCGGATAAAGGACTCTGTTTATTTTAGTGCCTCATATTCAACTTTATGCTGTAGGAAATCTGAATATCACTTGCAGGTAATAAAGGCAGAAGACCCGCTGTCTACACAGTCTGGTCGAGATAGCTCTCAAGTGGCTCGGGCCACAAGATTCTGCCATAAATTACAGAAGGTGTTGGGGCCAACAATGCACAGTTCAGGCCCAGGCAGCAGCAGCAGCATCACCGCATCGAGTGCAGAAGTTTTCTATTTTCTATTTTCCATTTTCTATTTTCTATTTTTATTTTCGTTTTTGTAGGACAACTTTCATAGTTCGTTCGGTCTGCACATTGGTTTTTGGTCGCGCCACATAAATGGGCCGGAATTTGGCATTTTTGCAACGGTGCAATTTACTTGCAGCAGCATACATAAGGCTCTTTTCTATCTGTACTTGTGTACAAAAAACGTCGAGTGTGGAAATTGGTATATATGTATATATAGGCCCAGATTCAAAACCATGGCCCTTGTAAAATGAAGCCCGCCTTCTATTCAGTCAGAGCAATAGCCCTGAAATAAATACCAATTTCTGCATACTTTAACATACAGCATAGCTGTAGTTTGGGGTTTCTTTCACCTCTTCTAAATCGAAAATCATAAAAGCTGATATAGGGATTATAAATAAGCAATCTATCTGGCTAAGCTTATAATTATTATTCTAAAATGTGATGTTATCTCTCTTTCCAGGACCCACGATCACCTGTTACTTACATACGACAAGTTAACCCGGACTGAAATCTCTACTTAACGATGATTCAGATACTGACACATCGACCCAATTATAGTCCTCTCGTGGTGTTTATGCTCCTCCTCATAGACCACCGACTGATTATTGTGGGTTCTAGTTTTCAAGTGCTGCAAAGCTCATCCGAAAAATACTTAAACTATGAACCGATGCAGGGAAAAGTGGAGGATCTGAAGCTGCCAGAGGATCGGGAATTGGTCGTCCGACTGCCATCAAACTCACTGCTCAAATATACGTCCTACAAGGATGTGTCCATTCTGCACTTTAATGTTCTGCAGGACACAAGGACTGCCTACTTCACCTTTAAAGCGTATGAGGATCCCAAAAGTGCCTTTCGTTAGTATAAAATAAATTAGAAATTATTTAGAATTTTATATTATTTATATTAATTTTTAGAACGCAAGTGCAAGCCCAAGGATGTTACGCTGCATCTGAAGGCCAGCAGTTATCCAGTAATAAGTCCGGAAAATATTACTTTTCCCAAGAACTTCTTCAGTTCAGATCAGAGGTAAATATAAAGGAAAGGATTGCATAATTATGTAGTTATTTTAAATGATTTTCTTACAGATTTAAGGTGTATGACCTGCAGTTCCTCTCCGATGAGAAGCAGCAGCAAATCACCATCGAGGCACCTCACATTGGCAACTGGTTTGCAGTGGCATTTGTGAGTTGGTCGGATCCCAATAATGATCGAATTGAGCAACAAGGTAATATAGTTTCAAATAAGGAGAGTTATTTAAGCAAATTTTAAATATTCATAAGTTATGATTCTAATTCATTTTAAATACATTTCAGTCAACTTTAGCTAAGAAACATAATACAAATAATGGTTAAGATCTGGAATGTTTTGTGAAACATTTAATTTCCACTTGTTTTTTCATTAGTTCATTTATCATTTAGTATTATATAAATACAAATTAAGTTTCTTTCTTTTCTTTAAATACTTATGTAAAAAAATTTTATTCGCAGGACTCACAGCCTCATGCGACACATTACTGTTTGCCGAGATGTCCGTGAGCCGTTTCCGTCCCATAATTTTAAATAGCGACCAGGAGCATCAGGCCAATTTAACGAGCCATGTCCTATCCGTTAATAAAACTAAAAAAGTGGATGCAAATCTCAAAGAAGTTGGCGGTGACAATACCTCTAGGCCGCTACGATCGCTGCCACCTAAGCAACAGAAACTGAAACATCCGGAATTGAACAATTTTACTGATAATACGGATCAGAGTAAACCTGCTCCCATCCAGAATTCCACGGAAAACCACAATGTTACCATAACACACACCGCAAACAATGAGATCATCTATCGATTCTATGTTCCCGACGAGATTGGCGATGCCGCGGCTCGGATTGCCTTTAATCAAATCTGCGATGAGTGTCCGGAGGTGGGTTTCCATGTCCGGGCCAATGGATATCCGCTGGGAGGCACAGATCAGGGTCATGGGACCATCATTACGGCAAACCAAACCGATGAGATTTCCATACCATTCGGTGTGCAGCCCAACACCTGGCACTATGCAGCTCTGGGATTTGCCACAAATGAGAGCTTGGCCAATTTTAGTGTATCCTATACCCTGCAAATTGATTACATCGCCTCCAAGATTGTGTCCAGGAAACCCAGAGATGGCAATGATGATAGCTTTAACAGCAGCACCAGTTCAAACATTAGTTCCAGTTCCAGCTCCATACCCAATGCCTGGACACCAACTCCCTTCCGAGGGATGAACTTTTACTCGCTGCTGCGACAAACCTACCGCGAGTTCTTCATGTTCGACTACGATCTCCGACCGGATGTCAATGGCACGGTGCCTGTCACACTCAATCTCACGGCCCAGACCCACTCGGGCTTCGCCTTTGACGTGGGTGAAGTGTATGACATCGGTGGAACCCTTACCTTTGCCCTTTCCATGCAGGAGGAGCACCGGGCCAGCTTGAAGATGGCTCCGCCCACGCAGCCGCCAGATCTGGGTGGCATCCTGGCTGAACGCTTGATCGGAGATCCCAAAGAGGCGGTGGTGCCGGTGGGTAAGACCTTAGTGGCCTCTGGCAATCAGAGCATGCAGATTGTGGTGTGCATGCAGCTGGGTGAGCCGGGGGAGCCCACCTGGCCGGACAAGTGTCTCTACGGGCAGAAACTGAAGCAGGCCTCCATCATTGTCAATCACACCGAAAGCATGGGAGTCATTCACGTGCCCTTTCCCGAGAGTGGACGATGGTGAGTTTATATTTTAAGTAATAGAGAAATTCATAGAAATATTTAATTAAATAATTATAATTTCCCTATAAAATAAAAGGTACGTTACCATGGGCCTCTTCTGTCATGGAGCCGAAACAGCTCGGGTAACTATCATGGAGAGTGTCAAGGAGTTCATAAGGAAGCACCAGGATCTGCTGGAGGATATGCGACCGCCTTGCGACTGCGCAGCTGGCTTACCCCGCTTCTCGGCCTGCCTCAAGGACTTGGATTGCCTTGCGGCAATGAACGAACCTGAGACACTGAAGATTAAGGAGTGCATGATGGACTCCAAGTGCACTACCGAATTCCGCCAGATGACACGACTGTTCGAAGAGCACCACAAGGCGGCGATGGAGCAGCATGTGGGCACAGATAATTGCAACACCTCGGTGGTGTTCACCGTATCCTCCAGTCCTTGTGTGGCCGGTAGATGTGGTCGATTTGGGCGCTGCTATCACTACATGTCCGGCGGTTTCGTCTTCTCCACATGCGTCTGCTCCAAGGGCTACCGGGGCTGGGATTGCACGGAGGACTCACAAGTGCCCACCAGCATGTCCATCCTACTGGCCACACTACTACTTACGCTGAGCAATCTGCTCTTCTTTCCCAGCATCTATATGGCGGTGAAGCGGCGCTACTACACCGAGGGCGTCATCTACTTCTTCGCCATGTTCTTCTCGATCTTCTACCATGCCTGCGACGCCGGCGAGGACGAGTATAGCTTCTGCCTGGTGAAGATTGGGGTCCTGCAGTTCTGTGACTTCTACTGCGGCCTGCTGAGCATCTGGGTGACTCTGGTGGCCATGGCCCATGTCCGCTCGGATTTTGTCTCGCTTCTGCATATGTTCGGGGCGATTCTCCTGGCCTTTGGCACGGAGCTAAATAAGCAGAGTTTATGGGTCTTTCTGGCCCCGGCATTGACGGGGATCTGCCTGATCTCCACTAGCTGGGGTCTGCGTTGTGCCAAGTCCCGGAAGCTGTTTCCCTCGCGTCGTTATCTCTCCGTCTGGCTGCCTTTTGGGTTAACCTTGGTGATCGCCGGCCTTGTATGCTACGCCTTCCTGCAGACCAAGCAGAACTACCACATCGTGCACTCCATCTGGCACATGGTAATGGCACTAAGCATCCTGTGCCTCCTGCCCTCGAGAAAGACCTTCCTGCCGAAGTGCTAGCACGCGGAGAGCAGTTCTCAGACCAGGGAGCTCCTGCTAACTGATCAGGAGTTCCACATGTGAGAGGAGGAGGACCCTTAGCTTTCGCAAACACGTTACAGGACCTAGACCCGTAGATATAAAACCTATTCTAGATTGTACAGTACGTAATAAATACTCGTAGATATAGTTGGATAAATGAGAATAATGGAGCACTGAAAGTTCACTAACACTATGGATGAAAAAACTATATGGATACAGATACTTGATCGTTACTACGTTTGTTTATGCATCATCAGCCACATGAAGCTATCACTATGATTTATTATTTATGGAGTACACTATTTCAACAGCCTTACTAAATTTAATGAAACGCACGCATGGAAATGTGTATCCCATAACCGAAGGTGTACATAGATACTTGTTGTTAAATAAATCGCAGACTGTAAGAATAGTTAATAAATAGAACGTACTATAAAATACCATATGCACTAATTTAAACAGAATCAATGTATCGAAATTCTCATTGAGGCAATTGAAGTGGTAGCCTAAGACTTCAATTTATTTTTCGTTGTGGAAAAAGGTTTAGAATAAATTAATGAATTTATACTTTACCAATAAATGTTTCGATTGTCTTACTGTTTAAGAACGAGTTTAATTGGTCATATAAAAAGCAGAATTAGAGGAATATTTAATGGGAATTTACACTTTCAAGAGACCTAAAGGTTTCTGTATAAAGCTTTTGAGATATAATCACAAGTACATTTAACACATTTCTCCTGCTGTTCACTCTTCCCCTTATCAAGAGTTATTTATATTAAATTTTTTAGTTTATATTAATTTATCTAAATTACATTTTAAATGGTAAGGCCCCCTATCGAACACTGCCTGAACCATAGCGTATTTCCCTTTCAAATTGCTCTGCCTTCAGGGTGCCATCGATGCTCTCACAGTTCTTGTTGAAGACACTATAGGCACTCATCTCGTTGCGATTCCTGGGACCTGTCCTGGTATTGAAATATATTCCAAACAGAGCGGAAAACATGAGGAAGACCAGTCCGAACTTCAGTTCAATTGCTATCACATAGAGGGTGACCCAGAACAGAAAGTAAACACCCCAGAGGGTGTACTTAAGGGCATTGTTTTCCTTGTGATGGTGCTCTGTAGATCTGGAGGTACTTTCCGCTGGCATTAATTCATTTTCACTGGAGAAAGCAGCCTCATCAGGGGATTCTGCAGCTGTATCCTGGGCCTTGGTTGTGGCTGGTGCCTAAAATTGTTATATATTTACAATATTTCCTAGCATATGTATGTCTTGTTTTCCACTTACCTGTTGTACCTCGATGGTGGTATCTTTGTTGGCTCCTGTGCCCAACATCCAGAAGCGGCGTAGTTTCGTCTTGAAGTTGTCAACGGTCTCCTGCCTTCGCTTCTGAAGGCGATATTGTCGCAGCTGCTCTTGAAAGTCAGCCATAAATTTCTGCTTAAAATGATTTTTGGTGAAAATATAAATAAACTAAACTAGACGTGTCAACATCATATCGATAAGGTCACTGCTGGGTCAGTTATCGATATATAGTACAGTCTAAGCTCAATTCAGTGAATAATTAGAGCCAATAAATGTAATATAAATATTTAATAATTAAATATATATTTTTTTAATAATATATACTCTAGTGATTACAATGTAAATAATGTTGTTTATATTATACAATTAATAAAAATATGCACATATTTATCAAGCCAAAATGTTTATTTCTTATAAACCAGTTAAGGTTTATTAAGTATGGCATGGAGTGTATACTAATTATAAGTTAATAAGTAACTATTTCATATTTTTGAAATAATTTTCATTCTTTTGTTTAATTTAAAATTTACAGAGATTTATTAGATTTTTAATGTAAATATCTTAATCTATGAAATAAATTTCTTTGAGGTTTTACTGTATTTAAAATGCGATATACTCAGCTATCGATATTTTTTATACTGCATTGAAGGTATTCTTTATTTTTGAATAATAATAATCATGTTATAAAATTGTATTAACAACTATATTATTTGCAATTTTTAATGTTTATTAGATTATTTTTAAAAGTAAAAACTCTTATATAATAAGTATTGTTTAAATTTGCTGTTATTATTATTCTTAAATGTATGTAAAAACTAAGCTCTAGAATTCAGAAGTTATTAAAAAGTAGTAAAAGTAGTAAAGTAGTAGTAAAAGTAGTAAAGAAGTCATTTCCGACCCCCCTATAACTCATATATATTCTTAATCAGTATTAACAACCGAGTCGATCTGGCCATGTCTGGCAAAGATTTATTATTTAAAAATCTTAATTTTCTTACATTTTAAATTAAATATGCAGATAGAAAAATCTGATAAAAACTAACACAGGAAAGCTTTCCGAATTAAAATTAATCATTTTTTGGCTTAGTTATGAAACTTTGATTCGTCATAAAAAAAACGAGAAATATTTATTCACAGAATGCTTATTGAATTATACAAATTTTCGCAAAACGGAAAAAAAACTTAAGCTTATGCATATAAATTAACGGGTTTAGTAATATTCAATTCTCTTTAATACATTTCAGTGACTAAAATATCATCCAAAGAACTTTTTTTTCTTGAAATATTAAAACAAAAAGGAAACTATAATGTTGACCTAAATTGACCTGATTTAATTAGCTTGAATTTAATCATTCTTCCACTTAATTATGACTCAACTTTCCGCTAAGATGTAGCGAGTTATCTATGTAAATGTCAATAGGGTCGCTTGAAGGTGCTGCCTCCTCGTACGTCAACTTCCTCGCAAATAAACAGATAGTTATGTCGACATGTGGCCCCCGGATTTATATCCGTAAGCTCCAAGTGGCATACCGTTTTCACACTCTTAATTACCATAAACATTAGAGGGTAAACAATCAAACATAATAATTTTTGTGAAAGAACTACCGTTAGTAATCCATCCACACTTAATTGCATTCATTAACAATTAGTGCCCTGCGGTAGTATCACTGTTTAACACAAAAAGTATTTGCTTTGGGATTTGCGAACTAGTATTTTTCAAAATTACTTTTATAATTTTTATGAGCAATAAATTTTATTTAAAAAAGTATGATAACATTTTTTTGGTATGCTACTATAATAATTATATGCTGCCCCCATTTTGGGTAGATAGTCAAAAAGGCAAGACCAATTAAAATTATTACCTTGATCTCTAGCTACTATTCTTATTTGATTTTATATATTAAGAAACTTTTATTTTTTAGATAATTATCAAGTATGATATAATTTGTTAAATAGTGTCATTACACGCGAATTTATGGCAGCACCTGGTCGCATACCTGGCTGACGACGAGCAGTGACAACGGCAACCTTTGCATTATTTGCTCTAATGAATTGAAAAAACGGAATAAATGAGACAGGTGTAATGGGCGAGGGGAGGCTCTTCGCTTTTTTTTAAGATTCTCAGTCGCAGCAAATGAGTGATACACTTTGATAAATAAACAGAATATCATCTAGACCCTCAAGTATCTTTATTGTTCCATCTGATAACCCAACCTCTAGGGGCGTCCTCAGTCACAGCCACTGCTTTTATACCCACTACAACTCCGGGTTCCTCTTCAGTTTTAGTTTGTCGCAGGTTCGGGAATGCCGGAAAATTGAAAGTTCTTGACTAAAATCTAAAAGTGATCACAATGAGTGCGGAATTGGGCCGACAAGATGATGTTGAGCGATCGACATCGAAAGCGATCGCAGCAAAAAGTTCTGAAAATAGCGAGCAAAATGCAGGCCATGAATACGAGGATGTGCTTCAATTAATCGGTACTGTAATGGTTCTTAATTAATTGTTAACCTAAATAATTAACTAGTGTAAATCCAATTAAGGATTCGGGCGGGTGCAATGGCTCGTACTTATAGCCGCAGGACTCCTTCTCATGATGGTCATCAACGAGACCATGGGCATGTCCTATATCACCATTGTATCTCAGTGCGATTTCGAAATGAATTCAATGGATAAAGCAATCATGAGTGCTGCCAGTTTTATAGGTGAGTTTGCAGTTTTTTTTGCGCCTTTAGCATTATTTTTTTAATCTTGATCAGCATCAGATTTTATCTTTCACGTTTCACGTTTAACATTTTCATGCTTATAAATTTCACGCGTGATTTCCACTATATTTTTTTATTGCAGGAATATTCTGCTCATCTTATTTTTGGGGCTACCTGAGTGACACTGTTGGTCGGAGGCCAGTATTGATATATACCACGATCGCTGGAAATGTGCTTTCCTTGTGCTCTACAGTAATTCCCAATTACTGGCTATATGTGTTCCTTCGTTTTGGTGTGGGATTTTTGTAAGTAAAGCCAAGTGATTTAAGAGTTTATAAAACTACTAGATTTTAATTATATTTGCAATAAAAACTGTTATCAGTGCAAAGTACTTTATTATTATATATAGTAAGCAATTAAGCCGGTTTCTAACTGAACACAAACCAAATAGAACCGCTTTTTTCTAATCTCTATATTATGAACTTAATTTAATAACACTTTTAATTATATATTTAATCCATTTAATAGCATTGCTGGAGCTTCATCAACTACCTATGCCTATCTTGGCGAATTTTTCACTCCCAAACATCGGCCTATTGCCATTAATTATGCCAGTCTCTTTGTGGGAATTTCCACTGTTTATGTGCCGGGTAATTATTTACTTAGTTCTTCCGTAAACATTTACAATATACTTAATACGAAATTACAGCCACCGCTTGGCTTATATTATCAATGAACTGGAACGTGAACATTACGGATGACTTCTCTTTTCGTCCTTGGCGTTTGTTGACCATTTGTTACATGCTTCCGGGAATTATTGGAACAATAATGCTATGGACTCTTCCTGAGAGTCCTAAGATCCTGATGTCCTTGCATAAGACCGATGAAGCCTTTGCAGCTGTCGACTGGATTGCAGTTAAGAATTCCGGCAAACACTTGAATGAATTCAAAGTGCAAAAATTGAAAACTGAAGCATCAGCTGATGGAGAAAATATATTACTTGTATCCAAGTCTGCGTAAGTTTTAATACATATTTCGTTAATAAGATATTAATATATTATATTGATATATTTAGCATTGCCACCATCAAGAAAATGTGGAAGGAAACTTTGCCGCTGCTAAAGAGACCGCATCTCGTCAACTTTGTTATTAGCTGCACCATTATGTGTGGCTTGTTCTTCAGGCAAGTATTTACAAAATATTTTCTATTTTTTATAACTATTTTTATATAAAACATGTATCTTTTAAATAGCTCTTCGGGTATGGGTCTTTGGTATCCTGAAATACAAAATCGATTGGGTATGAATCAAGCTGAAGATTCAATGACCGTTTGTGAAGTTATAGACGCTTCAATAGATCAAATGGAAGCAAATGCAGCTAATAAGGTAAGTCTCCTTTAATTTTATTTATCATTCTGACCATTACAATAAGTATTTATTTCTTCTTAATTCACAGACTTGTGTTGACACAATCAACACCAAGAGTTACGTAGACACGATTACCTATGGATCGGCCTTAATTGTGGGATATATACTAATGGGATTAGTGCTGAAGGCCATCGGTCGCAAAGCCTCAATTTTCATTGGCCTGGGTTTGTCTGGCGCATGTGCAATCATCTTGATATTCATCAAGGACGAAGTGGCCATTGTTGTGTGCTTTTGCCTGTACTTGGTCCTGCCAGGACTTTGCGTTTCGATAGTGAGTGGAGCTGTCGTGGATCTCGTTCCGACTCACCTCCGGGGAAAAGCGGTCTGCATATGCCTGATGCTGGGACGAACTGGAAGCGTTTTTGGGAGCAATATCATCGGTGTTCTCTTGGATTCGTATTGCTCGGTGACCTTTGGGGTATTTTCTGGATTCGTTTTGGGTGAGTAATCTGATAATCAAGTTATGAAGAATTTATTTGTTACTATCTGTACTTTTATTTTTGATAGTTTGCGCTGGCCTGACATTGCTGTTACCCATATAAGAGTATTATTAAGTAATTAATTATTAAGTTTAACTTATGTACCTTTTAAATAAATATAATTTTATATATACAAAAACCAACAATGAAAGCTAATTTCGGGGAGCGGAAGTGTGTATTCCGTTGCAGTTCCCCATAGGATTATGGGCTCGAATACGGAGTAAACCATATATAAGTCAATGATGAATTAATCTCAATTTAGAAAGCTTCTCTGTGTTGGTGTTTATGAGAAAACTACCATATTGGGCTCAATTATTAAGAAAAAAAAATATAAATTTTATGATCAGATCTATTCGGCTGTATATGCTGATCAAGAATATATATTATTTATATGGAGGGAAACGAGTCCTGCACTGGGTTTCACGTTGTTGACTGAAATTATAATAAGCTTTAAGGCGATAATAATGTAGCAAAAGTTGACGCCAAAATCAGGCCAATCTTAAAAGTATCATAAGGTATAAAAGTATCATAAGTTAGGGTCAGTTTTGAAACTAGAGTTAGGGTAAGGTAAGTAAGGATGTTAACTTTGAGTATACGATATCCATGATACAAACTTCTTCATCACTTAGATTAAAATAATATAATAATAATTTAATATAAGACTTACCGCAGTAGATGACACCTTGTTATCTCTTTACGTTATGGCTTCATTCCTCACGGTGTAGAGTTATGTTCTCGGCGACTCCAATCAGGCTTTTCATCGTATCATCGAAGTGAGCTTCTTCCTCGTTATCCATTTGTATTCCATTGGCCACGTAATATTTTCGAGGTCGTAGGGTAATCACTATCACTCCCACTGTCACTATAGATGTTAACACTGGTAGGGCCACGGACAGACTGAGGCCGGAGCGGCGGCCGGTGCCTGTATTTATAGTCCCAGAGTATAGAGAATAGCAGAGAGAGTGCGAGCGAGTGCGAGAGCGTAAAAGAGAAAGAGTAACCTCTAGAGAAGGCCAGAGAAAGGGACAGGAGGAAATTTCCAGAGTAACAGAGATAGTTAGGTTTACACTCAACGATCATTTCTATAATATATACTATATATACTATATTATATATTCAACCGATTTTAATAAAATTTAAACAGAACTTATACAATAATAAAACGATGCTTTATCTTAAATCAGATGAACATAAGAAATGAAAAGGGCTTAGTTTGTTTTTAAAAATTTTCTGATTCTTTCTATGGCAGCTATATGATATAGTCCTTCGATCCGGCCCGTGAGAGTATATAAAAGAATAACTGCAAGGCTTAATTCAGATAGATTCAAAACTGACAGCAACGGACAGACATTGATTGACTCGGCTATATATGCTGATCGAGAATTATGTATATATGTACATTACACAGTCGAAAATCACTCGTTCACTACTACAAATTAGACCCTATAACAAAAATTTTCCAAAGAAATAAATTAGTTTTTATAGTATTACCCAAACTTTAATTAACTTTAACTGACTTCAGACGAAATACCTTTAGTTTAATTAAACACCACAGGCAAGTGGAGCAGAATGCTGACACTCCCTTAATAAAACCAGATTTAACAATGGGACTTAAAGCTCGAACCAAATACAGTATTCGTCATTATTTTGTAATTTCCAGTTCAGTTTACGTTCCGGTTTTGTGATAATGTGGGAAAATTCTTCAAGATTTCTAAGCCTATTCACAAAAAATGCTTTAACAAACTATGCAATTATTTTACTAATTGTTTAAAGATCCTAAGACTGAGTAAACAACCCTCACGGTAAATCGGAAACAAACACAGCATACTCGGCATACTCATCTCTCTCAACCAGTTTTGCATATAAAATCGAATTCATTGATGTGCTTAAGATCTCTCGCAAATTTGCTTAAATTGAAACAAAATCCCGAGTCATTTGAGCTCAAAACTGGTTTGCGGTTCACATGTCGCTCAATGTTCTATACTGGGTTATTAGAATACAATGCAAAAGGCTTAAAAGCAGGTGCTGCACCAGAGTACTGGCCAGTTGACTGTATATCAGAGGAATGTCAAGATGCACGGCTCACGGGAGAGCAACACCCTCAGTCGCAATGTGTGGGACTACGACATGGTATTGGAGAAAATTGGTAATATATCAAAATCATTCAAGTCCAAACGGGATTAATGGGGTGGAGTTCATGCCACCAGGTTATGGAAAAACACAATGGATTTTATTACTGGTCAGTGGTCTCCTGACCATTACATCCGTGGCTGCCCAGCAGGTCATGAGCATCATCGTCATAGCCTCACACTGTGAATTCCACACAACACAAGCGGAAAAGGGGGTAATGATGGCGGCTAGTGTTACAGGTGAGTCGAGCCCAGTCTCACATGGAGAACAATGGATAATATACATTTCCATGTTTAATGTCACAGGCATCTTTCTATCGACCTACATATGGGGATATATCAGCGATGATATAGGGCGTCGCAAGGTTTTGCTCTACGGAAATTTCGCCAGCAATGCCCTTCAATTTATTCTCATGTTTGTCACAAGCATCTCCCTGTTTAACATTATTAACCTTCTTGTTGGAATCAGGTGAGTAAAGGAATATGGTAAAATGAAAGTAATGATTTAATTGAACAATTCTCTTTTTAATTCTCACAGCGTGGGTGGAGTCTCGGCAGCACTTTATGCATATCTAAGTGAATTCAACATACCCCGACATCGAGCTGTGGCAATTAATTATTCGACAATGTTTGTTAGTGTTACTGCGATATATGTTCCAGGTAACAATGAGTAGTTTTAACTGAATTAATTACCTAACTTTTATATGTTCTAGCAACGGCCTGGCTAGTACTTTCATCCGATTGGGCTATAACCTTAGGGGACTTCGTTTTCCGACCATGGCGCTTGATGTTGTTAGTTAGTCTTCTACCCGGCCTAATCGGTGGCTTAATCCTTTTGTATTACCCCGAAAGCCCAAAGCTATTGCTGTCCCAAGATAAGACCGAAGAGGCAAAAGAAGCTGTCGGTTGGATTAGTAAATTCAACAGGGGAAAGCCCATTCAGCAGGTTCTGGATTGTGACGAATTCACATTAAAGTCCGAGGATCCAGCTGGCGAGAACTTGTTATCCGACAGTCAGGGCTGCGGTATTGTGTCCAAAATTGTTCGAGCAACTATTCCCCTGTTTCACAAGCCCCACGGATTCAATTTTATTCTTTGTAATCTGGCCCTGTTTGGAATGTTCTTTAGGTAAGAAGTCAACAAAGAAAGCTACAAGCCAGTACAATTAATTTCTGTATATTTATAAAAATCTTCCAGCTCGAATGGCATGCAGCTTTGGTTTCCAGAAATTGTCAACCGATCATCTGGTGCCGAAAATAACTCATCTACAGTGTGCGAAATATTAAGCGTACCCGTTGAAACCCCACAAAATGTCACAGAAACACTGGTGAGTCATTAGATTTAACTGTTTTGTTTATAAAATTTTAAAACGTTTTTATTTGTATTTAAGGACTGCACCGATCCCATTTCAAGCAAAACCTATATAGACAACTTGATTGTTGGTTTTGCATTCTTAATTGGCTTTTCCATTCAAGGCACTCTACTAAATCCCTTGGGTCGAAAGAATGTACTTTTAGCTGCTCTTGCAGTGGCTGCATTGAGTGGAATATTCCTGCATTTCATGGGAAATCCCACAGGAGTTCTAATACTGTTTTGCCTTTATATACTGCTGCCAGGACTCTCTATATCCATCATGATAGGAGCCATCGTTGATCTGGTGCCCACAAACCTAAGGTATTTAAATCCATCTTAACATATTAAGTTTTGTTAATTAAATGTGTAATTTTATAAACAGATCTAAGGCAGTTAGCTTTTGCATGTCCATGGGACGACTTGGAATCATTGCTGCCACAAACTTAATGGGAGTTATGTTGCAACCATATTGCAATACAACATTCGCCATATTCACTTGTACGCTAATTGGTAAGTAGCTCAGAGTCTATTTAAACATAAACTCTTAAATTTTGTTTTATTTGTTTAATTTCAGTGTGCATTGTAATTGTTCATTACCTTCCAATTAAAAACTCTGCTTAAGTTTGCACGTTTGATTGTTTCTCATTTTTAATTATTGATTTTTAATGTACAAATAAATTTTAAAGTTGTTGATTGTTTCACTTAATAATGACAAATGTATTATTATTTTTAACTTGCATTGATCGAAAGTATAGCAACTTTGGGTAAGCCCTTGATGTTGGTTTCTGTTCATTCATAGTTGTAAGATATCATCTCAGTTAAGTAAGTCAACTCATAAAGTAGTTCATTGTGAATTACATATTTATAATCCAATCCAACGACTCAAGTTTTTCCTGAAATTATAATACACTGCAAGGGGATAATAATGTAGCAAAAGTTGGCGCCAATCTTTAAAGTATCATAAGGTATAATGATGCAGCAAAAGTTATGGACAGTATTGAAACCATAGTTAGGGTAAGAAACAAAATTCATAAGTAATTTATAGTTAAGTAAGAATGTTAACTTTGAGTATACGGTATGGTACGGTTTAGATTATAATAAAATAATGGTTAAGACTTACCGCAGTTATCTATTTTCGTCATTGCTTCATTCCTTCCGGTGTAAAGTTATGTTCTCGGCGACTCCAATCAGGCTTTTCATCGTATCATCGAAGTTAGCTTCTTCCTCGTTATCCATTTGCGTTGCATTGGCCACGTAATATTATTAAAGTTGTAGGGTAATCACTATCACTCCCACTATCACTATAGATGTTAACACTGGTAGGGCCACGGACAGACTGAGGCCGGAGCGGCGGTCGGTGCCTGTATTTATAGTCCCAGAGTATAGAGAATAGCAGAGAGAGTGCGAGCGAGAGCGAGAGCGTAAAAGAGAAAGAGTAACCTCCATAGAAAGGCAGAGAAATGGACAGGAGGAAATTTCCAGAGAAACTCAGAGAGAGTTAGGCTCACACTCAACGATCATTTCTATGTCCACTATATTATATAGTCATCCGATTTTGATAAAATGAAAACCGAAATTATTAAACAGTACAATGATGATTTATTTCAAATCAGATTAACTTACCTTAAAAACTAAAAAAGTTATAATTTGTTTTTAAACATTTTCCGATCGTTCCTATGGCAGCTATATGATATAGTCTTTCGATCCGGGCCGTGAGAGTATATAAAGGACTTACTACAAAGTTTCATTCAGATAGCTTCAAAACTAACAGCAACGGACAGACAGGCGGTCATGTCTTGATGGACTCAGCCATATATATATGCTGATCAAGAACATATATACTTTATATAGTCATTTTATTTTATAGTCAAAGAAAGAAATTAGTTTTCATATTTAACTTTAACTAAAAGACAGGCAAGTGAAGCAGAATTCTGATACTCCATTAATAAAACGAAATCAAATACAGTATTCGTCATTATTTTGTCATTTTCAGTTCAGTTTGCTTCCGGTTACTAAGCATTTTCAAGAAAATGCTTTAACATTTCGACACATCAACATAACATCAATAGTTGTAAGATCTCCTCTTAGTTAACTAAGTCAACTCACTAAGTAGTTCATTGTGAATTACATATTTATAATCCAATTTGTATTTCCACGTATAAACTTTTAACGAAACCAGAAGATCAAAACCAAATTATACTCAAATCTCAAAACTAGTTTCTACACATTATTATTAAAATATCATTCTAAGACCTAAAACAGGTGTTTTACCATCTCAGTGATCAGTTGTCTGTCTATCAGAAAAGTGTCAAGATGCACGGCTCACTGGAGAACCGTCCCAAAGTCTGGGACTACGAAACTGTCTTGGAGAAAATCGGTAATTTATTTAAATCTCTGATGAGAAACTGATGTTGTAAAGAGTACTTGCTACCAGGTTATGGAAAAACTCAATGGATTTTATTGTTGGTCAGTGGACTTTTAACAATAACAACAGTGGCTGCCCAACAGGCAATGGGCATAATTGTGATTGCCTCGCAATGTGACTTCCACACCACGCAGGCTGAAAAAGGTGTAATGATGGCCACAAGAACGGCAGGTGAGTTGATCTCTAAATCTCACCTGGAGAATTATAGAATTCTTTAAAAATATTTAATTTAATAGGTTTGGTCCTATCGACCATTATATGGGGATACATTAGTGATGATATAGGGCGACGCAAAGTTTTGGTCTATGGCACTTTTGCCAGTAATGCCTTGCAGTTCAGCCTCATGTTCGTCTCAGACCTTTGGCTATTTAACTTTATTAATTTTCTTGCTGGAATTAGGTGAGTATATTTCTTCACGTAGTTTGAATTGATAACATAACCCAGATAGTTCATAAAGACCGGCTTAAGAGAGCTTATTTATGCTAATTTTCTCTCTCATACAAAAACAGTGTGGGTAGTGTTCCAGCAGCACTTTATCCATATTTAGGTGAATTTAATATACCCCGACATAGAGCTGTGACAATTAACTATTCGACAATGTTTGTCACCGTTTCAGCGATAATTGTTCCAGGTAATACTTTGTGAATTATTTGCTCAACTCTAATTCAACAACTAATATATTTCAGCTGCGGCTTGGCTAATACTTTCTTACGATTGGACAATAACCTTTGGTGATTTTGTCTTTCGACCATGGCGTTTAATGTTGCTAATCAATCTTCTGCCTGGCTTAATCGGAGGCTTAGTGTTATTATATTTCCCCGAAAGCCCAAAGTTTTTGCTGTCCCAAGATAGGACCCAAGAGGCAATAGAAGTTGTCTCCTGGATAAGTAAATTCAACAAGGGAAAACCTATTCAGCAGGTTATGGATTATGAAGAATTCACCTTAAAGTCGGAGGATCCAGAAGGCGAAAGATTGTTATCCGATAGTCAGAGTGGCGGTATTTTAACCAAAATCGTTCGAGCAAATATGCCACTTTTTCACAAGCCGCACAATTTGAATTTTATACTCTGTAATTTGGCAGTTTTTGGTTTGTTTTTCGGGTAAGTAAAGACTCCTTAAAATCCGTAGAGAAACTTTTTAAGAAACATTATTAATTCTAGCTCATGTGGCGTTCAAGTTTGGCTTCCAGATATTGTTAATAAATTATCTGGCGATGGAAACAACTCTTCAACTGTGTGCGAAATATTAAGCGTTCCTGTTGGAGCTCCACAAAATGTCGCACTAGAGGTATGTTTATAATTTTTTATATTTATATTAAAATTGTACTACATTTTTTTTTTTATTTTAGGACTGCACAGTTCACATCTCAAGCAAAACCTATGTAGACAACTTGATTGTGGGTTTTGCATTCTTGTTTGGTTTTTCCATTCAAGGCTTTCTACTCAATCCCTTGGGTCGCAAGAATGTCCTTTTTGCTGCTCTTGGCGGTGCAGTTTTAAGCGGATTTTTACTGCACTTTATAGAAAATCCCACAGGTGTTCTGATATTGTTTTGCCTTTATATACTGCTGCCAGGACTTTGCATTTCCATTATGATAGGAGCCATCGTTGATCTGGTGCCCACACATTTAAGGTTTTTGTTTAATTTGATTATTTCCTTATTTTCCTTTTAATTAATAGTATTATTTAACAATCAGATCAAAGGCAGTCAGCTTTTGCATGTCTATGGGTCGACTTGGGGTCATTGCATCCACAAACTGGATAGGAATTATGCTGCAACCATATTGCAATACCACCTTCGCCATATTCACTTGTACGCTTATTGGTAAGTACTTTAAAAACAAATTAGAAGAATTCTAATATTAATGTTTATATATTATTTCAGGGTGCGTTATAATTGTTCATTATCTCCCGATTAAAAACTCTACTTGATTATATTAACGAGTCAATAATTGATCCAGGTGAAAAATTTCAAAAAGACGTATTCGAACAACTAAACAGATAGTTCTTGACAATTGTAAGAGAGATCAAAACGCACTCTCCTGTTATTGTGAAACATCCTACATAAAAATTGTATAACTTCAAGGAACAAACAATCATTAAAATAGTTTTTTATATTATAATTTTTTTTAGTTTCCTTTTTTATAATTTTAATGACAGCTTCATGATTGTCTAGTACCTATTCCTCCTCCTCTTCCTCCTCCCCATCATCCTCCTCTGGCTCCTCGTAGCTGTCGCCACCGGCGGGGGCATCCTCCACATTGGAGCTCAGCTCGATGATGGGTTCCTGCTCGTCGATGGGCGTCACAGGCTCCTCGACCAGAGGCTCAGTGGCATCGACATCATTCTCACCCTTCTGGATGGCCTGCAGCTCCTGGGCCGCAAGCTCGTTCTCCTGGCGGGCGATCTCGGCCAGCTCGGCGGCCTGGCGGGCCAGTTCGGCGTCGTCCTCCTTCTCGATCTCCGCCAGGCGTTCCAGCTCCTGTTCACGCAGGCGCTGCTCCTCCTCCAGGCGGGCTTCCTCAGCGGCACGAGCCTCCTCGGCAGCCTTGACAGCGGCCGCCTCCTCGGCTAAGCGTGCCTCCTCAGCGAGGCGAGCCTCCTCGGCAGCGGCAGCTTCCTCGGCAAGACGAGCTTCTTCAGCGGCTTTAGCAGCAGCGGCAGCTTCTTCGGCAGCTTTAAGGGCGGCAGCTTCCTCGGCTAAGCGTGCCTCCTCAGCGGCCTTAGCTTCTTCGGCAGCCTTAAGAGCAGCGGCTTCCTCGGCAAGACGAGCTTCTTCGGCAGCCTTGGCAGCAGCGGCAGCGGCAGCTTCATCAGCAGCCTTTTGGGCAGCATCTGCTGCCGCCTTTTGGGCGGCAACTTCCGCTTGGCGAGCCTCTTCGGCGGCAGCTTCTTCGGCAGCCTTCTTGGCCTTGGCAGCAGCCTTTTGCTCGGCCTCAGCGGCCAGGCGATCGCGCTCCTCCTTCAGAGCCCTTTAAACACAATATAAGAACTTGAATAAACCCTTCTATATTACCCAAAAGTGAATGACTTACCTCTCCTCACGACGCTTGGCCTCATCAGCCTTCTGGGCGCGCTTCTTCTCCTGATCCACTTCGTCCAGGGCCTCCTCGTTGACCGTGAGGAGACGCTCCTGACGGAGACGTTGCTTCTCCTTGTTCTCCAAGTCGACGGGATCCTCCAAGGGCCTAGGGGCAGAAAACTTTCTAGTTGGACGGTTAGGATCCAACTCGGCATCTGAAATTGAAAGCTTGTCATTCTCCTCATTATAATTTTCTTCTTATCATATTTATTCTCCTCATTATATTTATATAATTGATCCTTAACTTTGCTCTTCAGTTTATCCATTATCACTTACATATAATAATACTTACTCTTCGGAAAGGCGTTGGGTTGGTGGTTTTCTTATAGACGAGGCAAGGTAAAATTGCAGATACAGTAGACGCCAATGGTTTAGAGTATTGTGTGGCATTAATGGGAGTTTTTAGAAAGTTCTGGGCATGAAGATTTTGAAACCAAAATGTGGTTAATGGGTTAAGCATACATACAATATATACATCTCAAAATTCAAAAACTAGAGTACATAAATCAAGCTGAGGTCTCGAGGTTTTGTGGATAGTGAATTCAATGTAAATTGAATTCATTTGAGCAACAAAAATATGTTATTTACATGAAATATTCTCCTTGGTTTCCTATAAAGTTAATAAACCTGTAACCCCCTTTGAAAAACCCCATAAAAAAGAAGTTTCGTTTTGGATCAGTATTTACAAATTAATATATTGATAGATATATGTAAGTAAATGTCCCTAAAAATGTGTTTACATATGCATGAACATAACATAATTGGTTAACCAAATTTGCGCCGACATCTAAATATATCTTAAATGCCAAATAATTATGCACATGAAGTTGTATTTATATATATTTTTTAAAGTCAATGAACGTGAAAAGAAAACATTTAATAATCAGCTACTATATATCGGCACCTAAGTTACAACAAATTGAAAGAGAATGAAGAAGTATCTACATTTTGGTAAGTCACATGAAAAAGGGTTAGTATCACAAATGATGCGCTGAATATCTTCATTATCATTATTATTAATTATTATTATTTATTCGATCTTTTTAGCTGTTCTGATCTGATCTGACTTTGTGTAGGTATTAGTCTGAGTAGTGAAAGCGCCAGAGTGTGTCGATATCAAGTGTTCATCTTGTAGATATCGGCTAAGTGTCTACCACACGCAAAAGAAAGTCTTTTAGATTGGTTTATTTAAGAAAGAGAAGTGTATGTCCATACAAAAATCAGGCATGTTATCATTTAGGCCTCAACTTCAACAGCTTCAACTGGAAAGAATCAATCAATCATAAAACGTATAACGTTAGTGAAATACAATGAACTGAACAATTCAGGATGCAGCAACCAAATATGTAAGTTAGTTACAAATGAATAAATTAAGTCAACTCTCAATGGCACCGGCTTATACGATTATTTGTATTAATATTCAGGGGAATTTCTGGGCTTCCGAACAGGAAGAATATAATTTGGACAAGTCAAAAATAATGTTATACCGAAAAATCTCAAACGAATATCATACTATTGTTTGTTTTTTTTAATTAAAGCCTTGGGTGCTTTCTCTTATTTAAAAAAACATATTATAAAGTCTGTCATGTAGGTGAGATCTGAAGATTTATAATTCGAAGATAAAGTATGATATAAACAATTAATGGTATGGATATATGGATGAAGAGTGTAGCCTTAACTCTGGTCCATTTATGTTCAATACATATAGTTCTTTAAATGTTTGTTTTATTTTATTTTCGCATTTATATTTTTAATTATTTTTAAGTTACCAAAAAAAAATCGCACAAATCCTTGTCCTTATTTTGCATCTCTCAATGAATGGTACTCGTTTTGGCGGCAACATCAATTACATATATGCTTGAGTGATATATATATACAGGTGTCATATTCAAGCGTCGTATTAACAAAAATGAACAGTACTTACCTTCCTTCTCAGGAACATGGGATTTCTTATCACTCTTCCAAGTCGGATGTCTAAGGTACCAGGACAAGAGGTTAATATCAGTTCGAACTTTGTCCGAATCGTACATGGGACTCCTAATATTATAGGCCTTGTCACCGCAAATCCTTACTGATGCAAGATGACTTTTACCTTGGTTGTTATTTAATTATTTAAAAAATATGGAATTTAATAGCTATTTAACTGTACAGTATACGATAAGGGATGTCTAACCACAGTTTTGTGTACTGAATATATATAGTGCCATAATCGTGCACCATGTCGGATAGGCAACTCACCAACATATTTTACAGCTGGCCGGGGATAATGCGAGATATTGTGAACTTCCTTGGCAATATGACGCACAGGATTTGTGACACGGGCCACATAGGCGTCCAGGGCAAGTTGGGAAGTTGGTTCATAGGTGTAACTATAATTAATATATATTTTTTTATTTACCATTAATACAAATAAATAATAAAAATAACTATTTTACTGATGGAAATATATGTTTTCAGACAGATTTTCACTCTAAATATCTTTTACGTTTTGTCACTTTTAATTGTGACCACATGTCGTATACGTAATAATTGCCTGTAAATATCACTCATACGCCATGTGTGCAAGGGCAAATAGCATTCTACGCCTCAAAATGATAAATTCATTTACGGTAAAATACATATATGGTAAACTATTTACATTTATTAATGGTAAAATATATAATTGTCTATACTTAACCTTGACAGACGTTATATCACAATCAAGGGTAAAAACATAAAACCGGAGAAATGATTATAACTCTTTTCTTATTCTTTGAAATAAGCATTTAATATTTTCTTAATTAATTTAAAATTCTGTAAATATATATTTAGAAATGATTATTTTATTTTCGACTTACCCGGTGACTGGGAAGGGTGTGCAGCTGCGAGCACGGCGCACCACGGGAGTATGCAAGTCACGAATCAGAGATTGCGCCCGGTTGCGAATCCGGCTTGTTTCCTCAGAGAAGGTCTGCAAGGGGACTCTGAATTAGATGAATCCTCAACCAAATGATTGATGGCGTAACGAACTCTGCGAAGGCTACAGCTACGACTACGCAAGCTTGCTCTAGCTAAGATCTATTTAGCTTTACTTAGGCAGACCAACTTACGGTGAAGGGTTCGGTATTGAGGTAATTGGTAAGGGCCCGAGCACCATATCCTGGCGGCAGCCTCTTCAGGTAGGAGGGCACTGAGCGGACCGGGGTGGTCGTGATCCTCACCGGCGAGGTGGTGATCCTCAGCGGGGATAGCGAACGGGCGGGGGCGTACACCCGGGTGACCGTGGTCGGGCTGTAGTAGTAGGACGGCGTGTAAGTGGTGTACGAGGTCGGGATGTAGGTCGAAGTGTAGGTCGATGGCAAGTAACTGGGGCTGTAATAGGTCGATGGCGAAGTGTACGAGTACGAGGTGGTGCGCTCCGGCGATGAAATCACTCGGGTCGTCGTGCGGACAACGCGAACTGGCGACGGTGAGTGGATAACCCGGGACACCACGCGGGCGGGCGAGGTAACCACACGGATGGGCGAGGTCACCACACGGGTGCCGGTGATCACGCGCCTGGGCACCGAGTAGCTCGAGTAGATCGGATAACTCGACTTGTATACCTAAATTTGTCAACAGTTTTTCAAAAATTAACACAACATTGAATGAAGAGGATTTGATGAAGACGAGAAATCTCGTTAACGTTATCGTTATTGCAATGAGGAAGCCAGTAATGAAAGTAAACAAAGTTTAACTATTAACAGAAACAGAAACAGAAATATTTAGATAATGATTCACTCAGTAGATGAGTTTTTTGGTGATGAAGGATGGTTTAATGAATTCGAATCCCTTACAATATTTTTATAATTTGTAAAAAACCAAAACAATATCTATAATTTGAATGATGATCTATAAATTGAAAGATGATCTTGACTCTTAGCAGAGAAACATTACGAACGTTCTAAGACTCCTAAAATGCTAACATTTATAGACTTATCTTTTCAAAATATACAATACAAACTCATTAATTAAAACATTCCTCCTTAATTAATGTATCTTAAATTTCTGATAATGATTCCAACATCCTTAAAGGATCACTATTGGGTATCTTCTTGGACTATGTAGTAAAGTTAAGTTAAACTAAGGACTCACTACTAACCAAGTCCGCTTCCAGTGACGATGATGTGATGGATGTGATGGAACAGTGTGATTATAGTCAATGGAAAAGAATAAGTTGTGAGACCATAGATAAAGACATGGATGACAGGCGATGTGTGTGCGATTGCACGATGAAATGCAAATACTTACACGAGTTACTTTCGAGACCGTCGGGTACTGAAAGTAATACAAAATAAGGCAATTGTTGTTTTAAATCCAAAAAATATGACAACTCTCTCTCATATATTCTCATATTTCTTGACAAAACGGCTTGAATGGATTGTCCATTGTTTGATTCCCTAATTTGTGTTTGTGTTTCTGTGTCTTCCGTATGAATATCGTATCTGACTTGTGATCGCGGATCAAGTAAAGTAACACTAGGTTTATTTGAGATAAGACCGTGTTTATTTTATTGTATCACAAATATGTTTTAACATGACTGCTTGAAGGTTGTGCAAATACATAAAAGAGGCGACTCTAGTCTATATGCGGATCAATGTGTGGTCATTAGTGGTGATTAGTCCAAGTCAAAACATTTACATCATCTGAATTCGAGCATCGTATACATATATAGGCACTCAAGGTTAGCGGTGGTTAGATGGATTATTCGAAGGATATAGTAGATATATATATATATAATCGAAACAATGACGTTGGATTAGTGGGCACCGAAAACATTCAAAGCACCGGAGAACTGGTGTGCAGCTTCAGCAGCATCCTAATCCTAAACGTGGTAGGAGAAGTGACGGTACTTGGTGCCGCCCGGCAGGTTGCCGGAGGTGGTCGACGAGTAGCTGTAGCCGCCGGGTCCGGCGCCAGTGGTGCTGGTCCGCTCGGTGCTATAGTTGTACGAGCCGCCGGGGCCGCTGCGCGACGTTTTCTCAACGGTCGAGGTGTACGTGGATCGCTCCGGGCGGTACGAGTGCGGGTTGCTCGAGTCGTAGCTGCTCTTCTCCACAGACGACTTCGAGGTGTACGAGTAGTCCGAGGAGGCGCGGCTGCGGTGCGAGCCAGGTCTGTCCGTGCACAGGTCTAAGCGTGGAGTCTATAAATTCCGATTTGATATTGATATATTGAAAATGTTTGGCATTGGCATTGGCATTTTTTTGGGTGGGGGCAACATTGGCAACACAAGCATCAATCATTTAAAGGTACGTTAAAGCTCCTCCTTCGAATCTTCTATCTGCTGTAGGCAACGGTCCAACAAAAAAAAAGAAAACCACAAAAATAATAACGCAAGGCGACTCTCGAAAACGGGGAAATTGAAACATGTTCGAATGTTTAACTTTAGAATTTCATCTAGGCACACACAATGCTATGATTCTATGATTCTATGAAGTTGTGAAACGTTAGATACAATATACATTAGCTACACAGAGGAAAAAATCATTGTTAGTTGGATTAAATATCATTCCCTAAATTATATATTAAATGGTGGAAACTCTATTTGATTTTAAGGGATGTTAAACCCAAGTCAACTGATCTTTCCTCTGCATAGTCTACGAACGTGTACAAATGGGTTAAAGTGGGTTAACACACAGGGTTTAATGGCTAAAACTAAACGTAGTCCTATCAATTTTTTGTGTAATTTTTCAGTTTTTTTTTATTTGTTTGTCGATTATTTTGTTCTTAGCTGAAATTAAGGTTCGTTCGATTGTGTTCGGGATTAAGGCATAACTATATGTGTAACATGGAGAAAGTAGATCTAGTAGCTGTACTTGGTGACCATCGCACCCGATTTCTCATTGCGGTAGGTCTCCCTCCGCACCGGCAGGCTCTCGGACACAGCCCTGTGCAGCCGGGGTAGCTGCGAGTCCAGGCTATCCCGGAAGGTGCGGGCCGCGGTATTGCCACCAGCCTCCACGGTGTCGATGTGCTGACGCACCATACCCAGGATGCGGGTGCGGTTCTTGTCCCGCGTGGACACATACGGCTCGATGGGCTCATAGGCCAACCGGTAGTTGGGCTTGATGGCCGCCCGGTTGATCGGATCGAGGATCGAGTGCTTGCGACGCTCATGATCGGGACGCCGGACACCGAAGGCGGTCACCGGATCCGAGATGAGCGACGGACGCGGCACGAACGGAACTTTCTCCCAGTCAATTGGTGTTCTCTGGTTCGTTCTCTGCAAAGCCCAAAATTCCACAAATTTCGATTTAATTTCTGGGACAGGGTTAAACGCGATTAGGGAGAAGATCTTGGCCAGATCTGGCGGCGGTGCTGCGGGACTCAACGTGGTGTAGCGGTGGCAATGGCGGTGGGACTCATATATATACACTCTTGGGTACGGACGGGGGCTGAGGCGGGCATTTATACACAGCTATATATACAGCTTCGCAGTGGTTGAGATTTATAGTTATCCTTGTGCTGGTTTTGGGTCAAGCGATATCCAATATATGCGAAGGATCCTAACATTATGACACAAGTTGCGTATTTACATATGTAAGTGAAGAGAGGGGAGTGGACCTTCTATAGCACATAAAGCCCTATTAATATTGATTTCAAATGAACAAAAGTATTATTTTTTATTGAGAAACTTGATGAGAAATAGTTAAAATGCATTGGATACATCTTCAGTTTAACTAACAACCTTTTTAAAAAGTTATGTACTCAAGTTTAAAAAAGTTTTAAAAATAGAAGTGACAGTAAGAGGCGCTTTGTACTAAATATCACTCATACGCAGTGTTGTATCTGCTCAAAAATTAAATTAAATTGATTTTTATTTATTTATTAATTTTATAAAATCTAAATATTAACTAATATAGGTCCACCCCAGGTCTCATACACATACTTATGTAAATATGCATATTGATACGACGTAGTGTGGTTGTAAGTATTATGTGCAATGGGAGCATTATGGATACTCGCAGCATTTAGTTCGAACACAAAAACAGCAAACATTGATTTATGTACAATAATACAAAGATAGGCAAGTTAATATTTATAAATAAGCAGTTTATCCTGTACACTAATCCCTGAAAAAATACAAGCAACATTCTTAGACTTCAATGACATCATGGCATGATCCCCTTTTCGTCATTAAAAAAGACAAAAGTTGGACATAAAGTGTCCACAGACAATGGCGATTATTAAAGGCACTTGATGTACATATTTATTCTCGCCTTGGATTATCATCACACTCATTAATACCGACTGAAAAATCGGTTTTTTGTATTTTCGGCATTTATCTTCTTCTTCGGATTTTTATTTTCTTATTTTGAAAAACGCCTGAGACTTTTGCTGGCGTTATTTTATTGCCGCTGCTGGTTCCCTCCCATAGCTTCTTCGGTTTATTTGAATATATTATGGAAATCGGAAAAGATATTTTTAGGACTAGCGAAGAGCGAAATGCGCGCGCATCTAGTATTACACATATACAAATCGGCGGAACCAGAACCAACCACTACGGAGATTGTTCGAGAGAGCTGCACCTGTATGGGTTTCATTGGGAATTCGCATGTGTTTGGAATTCCACTCCTCTATATATGCTATATGCTAAAATTTTTGGGCACCAGCGAACGGGCCGGACGGACCTCGGCTTTTTGTAAATAATAATAAATTAAGATAGAGAAATGTTTCGGCCTCCGCTAAATTCTGAAATTCTCAAATACTGAAAATGTATTCGCCCGTTAGATATTATATATATTTTCTTTTTGGGGGAGGGATGAGTAAACACGAAATATCCGAAAAGAGATATGAAGATCATCATCGGTGGGGCTGCCATAAATTTAGGAAAAATTATAATTCCCACGATCTGACGAGAATTGCAATGCCTTTTGCTTCACACATTCGCATAATCTTTCTTTTTTTTTTTTGTCATATGTACATATATTTATTTAATTGGGGTCTGCCTTGACGAGCATTACGATTAAGCTGCACATATATCACATGTATAATACAGGAGACCATAATGAGAACGATTAAAGTTGTTAGAAATAAGTTTATGTTTATGATTAACTACACACAAATGTTGCACACAGAGAACCCCATAAAAAAATATATATTATTTTTATGTCCTTTATATTTACACATATGTACGCCCGCTCGTAAGATATTCTCTAGAGTGTAATAATTCTAAGTTATATATTGTAAGTTGGATACGATATTCATAGTTTGGTAGACACTTTGCATTCAAACGTGTTTCAATTTCTTCAATATTCATCTGTTCGCTTGCCAAATATGAAACCATTGAGTACAGCCAGTGGGACACAAGCGCTTAAAACTGATTTCATTTTTTATATAGATTTTTAAATAAATTCTTTTACTACATATTCGATTAGCTAAACTGCCTTTAAATATGTCAAATTTATCCGCAGCGTTTCCGTACAGTTTTCCACTCAAGAATAGTAGTTTGAAAGTTGAATTTAGAATTTTTCAAATCGTACGCACAGATATATTTCACAGATTTAAAAAAGGATTTATCAAGGAAAAACCACACTACCGTATGTCAAGTTTATTAAGTTTATTGGCGATGGATGGGGCTTACCGTAACGGCGTAAGAAGTCGTCACCGGCCTCGAGGAGTACGTTCTGCGAGTTGTAAATCCACTTTCGTAAACCATTTTTGTGATTTTTCAAGCGATGCCTCTTTGTGGAATTAGAATTTGAGTTTGAATTTGAATTGTTCGTTGGATTTGGTTCGGATTTGTCGTCGTTGCGTGTTGTTCACTTGACGCCCGTTCGAGTTGATCTGCCCGAGAATCGTCCGGAGCACTTGCTTATAATTTTTTGATTTTCAAAACTTTTCACACAGCCTTCACTCACTCTCTCTCGCTCTCGGCACCTCTTTTTCTAACCATCTCCCAAATAAACTTATTTTTGGAATTAAGAAACATTGACATCTCTCGGCGAAAAAAGAGCGAGCAATTTCTGTTTACATAAAGCCAACACTTTTCATACGTCAGTATGTATGTTTGTATTGGGAGGAAAAGGCCTATATACATATGTACATCGATCTTTGGTCACGGAATAAAGTAGCCCTTTTAGAAAGTGATTCATTTCAGGTATTTGTTTTCCAGCATTTTCTATTTTCGCATCTTGGGATCCCACTTGTTTATATTTATTTTTAATTTTGCTTGTTAAAGGATTATTTCCGGAGAGACGGGTCTTGATAACCATTAAATTAATTATTCATACTTATGCATTCACATTCAAAAATATGGAATTCCATTATAACAAATCAAAAATAAATGAACCTTTTAAATACAAAGTAATCTAAAAATCCATTATTAACATTTACAAAAACCCTTTGGCTTCATTTTTGGTCTCATAAGAATGATGTATTAATTTGCAAATTCTTGGCAACACTTTTGAATACCTTGAATAATTATGGTACATTTTAAAAGCGCCTTCATATTCAATTATTAATACAGACCCTTTTTATTTTGTTGTAGGTATCAGAATACCAAAATTATGTATATATTCCAATTCTTGGCAACATTTTCGCAAAGAATGAGAAATATTTTTCCCCAGTTGAAAATTCAATAATAAACAAAAGCATAAATATGGTTCAACAATTTATTGTAAACATTAAAAATGCTAAAAATAGTTTTGTGTGCTCCCTAAGCCTCTCAGAGAATTTTAAGGGTTATTAAAAAATGGGTTTCACATCATTAAGGACGTCATCATTAGCAACTAAACTTTTGTTTAATAAACATTCTAAGCTTTCATATATTTCGCAGATTTTTAGCAGACTTTTGGCACTCAAATAATAAAAAAAATGAGCTTTAAGATTAAAATCCTGGCCAGAAATTTATGGGAGTGAATATCACCTGTAGAGCAGACCGGACACAGTGCTCTTCCCGCAGATATATATCTGGAAAATAATAATTAAACAAAATAAGATAAAAATAAATGCTGTTTTCCAACAGATTTGAGGCCAGAGATTACTCATACGTTTACAAAAAGGCGGCTAGGCTCTCATGTATTTGTTAGCATATAAATAAACTGCACATCATCGCATAGCCACATATTAAATCGCCTGTGTAGGTGTCTGGCTCTTGTACATAAACAAACAAAAAAAATATATACATATAATAAAGAAAAACCATGGCAGAAAGTCAGAAAAGCAAATTCTTTATGACATTAACCTTAACGAGAGGCAATGAATGACTCGTAATTTCAAGGCTGCCAAAATCACACTAATCGGAGAACAAATATGCCATTGAGCGCTGTCTTCGAATTTTAATCATTTCATTGTGTCAATTAAGAGTAACACATAAATTTTAATTTCAATGAAATATTTGTGTAGGAAAATAAGTAATTCGGGATGAAATAAACTGGACAATAACATGAATTTGTTATGTTAGTTAAAAATGCCAATTTGTTATTATCTTAACATTACAAAAAGTATCAAATGGTTTTGCCTTTGTAAAATGTCATGTAATACTAAGTAATCAAATACAAAACTTTTATCTTTAAGTACATATAAATGATCAAAAAATAGATAATAAATAAATAAATGATAATTATATATTTCGAATCATTACACTTATAAGTACACATTATACAAATATTTGATTTATAGCCAAAATATTTGGCACATTTAAAAGGCGTCAAAAAATTAATGATATATCATCTATATTTGCAATTAGTAAAGTATTTGATTTAAGTATGCATATAAATTTCCATGTATTTGTTGTAATTTATTATTATTATTATTAATGTTCTACCAACTCAATAGGAAATAGCCCAAGATCAAGGCCAAACTAAATATGTTTTTAGTTAATTAATCTTCATCAAGGATACTTTTCTACATACTGAAATATTGAAAACAAACATTGATGGTTCTAAAGAAATATCTATTTTGTAGCGAAATTTGAAGGTCAAAGTAAGATGACATTATCTTTATTATGTCAAATTAATCTACAAATAGTATATTAACTTTATTTTGTAATATTTTTTGTACATTTTACTGAAATGTAAGTTTTGTAAATAAAGATAAGTTATCTAAATTAGTTATCTAATTACCTAAAATACGTCATAGATTTTATCGAATCCTTTTGGGTGTGAAATATAATGAAAGCCCATATATATTCGGGCTTGTTTTGTATATTTACAAAAAAACAAAGCGATGAAAAGTCAGTGACTTAATACCAGAAATCTTTTGCTCGAGTGCCCCTCATAATGATGCAAGTCTCACAGGTGCAAACACTTCCATGTGTCTCCGGTTTTAAGTCGCGATTTCGATACAAATATATAGTACTTACAGATGTATATATGAATTATATATATTTTCCATTGCATGGCAGCGCAATTTTTCCACCCACAAAGCGTGGTTTTTCGGCATTTCGTGGCTGCGATAATTTCGTTAAATAATTGAGTATGCAATGAAAATTGCGCATTACAGCGACATAAATACAATGATGCTCCTTCTCCGTTGTGGGCACATATATAGTAAGTGCCTATATGGTTACAAACACCTGCTCACTGCTCAGTCGTCGTGGTAGAATGGGTTTCTTTCCTCACTTTTCCCAAATACCCAACATAAACGGCATTCAAATCTGCACGTTGGCTTGACATTTTGTAATTTTAACAAATTGCTTGAATTTTTGTCGGTTATCTCCTATAAATAGTGGAGTTTCTGCCATTTGAAATATTAGTTTGACGCTGAAAACGTGACCGAGACCACATCGAGGATCAAATCGAAAACCCTTCAAAAATCAAAGGATACTACCAATCTTCAGGATGAATATAAATTACCTTGTCATATTGCAATTGCTGGGAGTTATGGTGCTGCTGACCTATGCCAATGCCATTCCCAAATACGAAGAGAGCCATAAGTAGGATATACTTATCCATCCAAAAATAATACTCATTCTTGGCGGATCTTTTCAGGTTCTATCCGGACAAAGGTCAGCGAGATCGGTCTTACTATAATGAGAACAAGACACAGCCCAGTGAACCGCAGACAGCCTCCACCAAAGATAGATTGGAACGTCTGGGGTACACCACCGGCTATGGATCTCTTAATGTGTGTGAATGGTTCTGAAATGTATCGTAATAATTTACCAAATTTATCTGTGTACAGGGCTATCCCGGAGGTACTGGCCTCTCCGCCTACAATCCCATCAAACTCGACCTGGGCGGCGTGGTCTTGGGCACTCTAGTGGGCATTGGAGCCATCATACTGATACCTAAAATCCTGTCAGCCTTCCATGGTGGCTATGGCGGATATGGTCGAAGTAGGTGGTGTGTTTCCAGCTAGTCAAGCAGAATGTATTTCGTACTTAAACATCCACAGGTGAGGACAATGACCTGACACCCCTGAGCAGCATGATTAACAAAATCGACGATGTCCTGGGTCAGAACAACATTGACTCAACGAGTTGCATGCAGCGAGCGGTCTGTGGTTATGTTCGCTCTACGGAGTATAATATGAAGATTGGTTCCTCGGATCAGATGGATGAGTTCATTCATATGCTATCGGAGTAAGCATAAATATTAATTTAAATTTATATATATTTTATGTTACATTTATTTTTAGAAATGCCCTCGTGGATTACCTACTGGATGGAACGGCTATAAAGGAGGCCCTGGAACACGGAAAGCGAGCCAATGACAGACCTTGTGAGGATGTATACTCCAATTGTCCTTTGGATAGTAAATCGGCCACGGAAATACTAATGAAACTGATGCCAAAGAAAAACACCCAAGGAAAGGGAAAGTCTTCTGGCATTCCTCGAGAAAAGAAGGCATAAGATAATGCCATATTGTTACAAGTTAAATACCCTTACAACCAAATATTATTCAACATTTAAATAAACTCAAGTGTGTTACCTTTATTTAACTGTGTTTTTAAGCATCTCCTCAGCTTTTCAAATGCGTGATTTAAAGCGTGAAATAACGATTTTCAAGGCCTAAGGCCATTCACCTTGCTATTCATCTGACTTTGAAATTAAAATAAATCACTAAGAGCCTTTACTTATATCTCTAGATCAGCAAGGTCTTGCTCTCTGAACTGGGTATTGTTCTTGTTATAGCTTAATTTTCCGACTCCGAGGTCTCGTAAGTGGCCTCGTTGGTGTTCAACATAATTTGTAATTGCTTTTCCTGCTGCTCGATCAACGGGAGCCATTGATCCGAAGGTGTGGTAAAGCTACTCGGTTTAAACTTTTGAATTTTCCCAAGATTACCCAACACCGACTTGCGATGCACTCGATTCTCCAGCATTATCTGTTCCAGCTTATCCACCAGGTTGTTGGACTCCTTGATCAGATCATCGATGGACTGGAGAAGGGCGTACCAGTCTATTTTCTGAGTGCCAATCAGCGTGTTACCCCTCAACCGGAAGGGAAACGGAACGAAACTGCGCCACGGCTTGTACGACTCGATGATGTAGGGTATAAAGTGTCGATCCGATTCCATTTCGACTGCATCGTCATCAAAGTGCCAGGAAGCCAGCGTTGGAGCCAGGTTAGTATTGTTTTTACTTTTCGAAGTATGCTGACGCTCTGATTCATTGAGGTTTAGTTTCCGGATCTTGGCAATCTGATCGCCCAGCCGCTTTTCCACATCGGAAATATTGACATTGCCATCTTCATCGGATGTCAGATACGAGTTTATCAGATCTTTGTTGTACGCCTTGGGCAGTAGAGTCTGGGTCTGACGGGAAGTCGTAGGCACAGTGTCGGTCATTTGGGACATGGAATAGGTAAGTACATCTGCAAGTATATACTTTAGTTTAAGGTGAGAGAATAAATGTTTAGTAAGACTTACACTTTTCACCATCCTTCTTTTTGGAGAGTTGTCCATCGGTGAGAATTCCAATGTCCCTGTGCAGGATCAGATCTTTTTGCACTCCAAAACTCGCCTCCTTCATCAGCTTCGTAGGGACAAAGTCCGTCTGCAGGGCCACATTGGCCTTCCCAGCTCTTAGCCGCCTGGAGGTTAAGTATAAAAGGGTATTAACTATTAGTATTAACTTAAAATAAAAGGTAAATAAAACCTGGAAGCATCCAGTAACTTGGCCCGTAGCAGGGCACTTTTATCCGGCTTGGTAAGCGTCGAAACGCTAACCGCTCGCCATGGCGGGCGCTTTGCCTCATTATCCTTTTCCTTTTCCTTGTCGGCCGCCAGATCTTTCATGCGTTTCCAACTATTTTTGGCTCTAAATTTTTAAAAAAACTTTTGTTTAATTTATATAACATATATTTAAAAATGTAATACGAGCACCTTACCGACTCAATGATGCACTGCCCACACGAACGTTCGTCTGCGAAGTGCTCTGCTGGTCATCCACACTTTGCGTCTCGCTGGTTTCCGAGGATGTGCCGCTGTTGTTTGAGCTGGTGCTTTGCTTTAGCCTGTTCATGGTACCGATTTCTTCCCTTTTTTACCCCTTTAAACTTTAAATGTGTGTGGGTGGAAAAACTTTGCGAACGTCTCTATCAGCAGTCAATACATCGATGCATAAATTTAGTGCAGCACCGTTGCTATGGATCCGATTGTTACTTTGGGGAATGGGGAGCTGGGGTATCGACGTACGGATACCAAGGCATGGTAAGGCGAAAGGTAATTCATAGATTTACACCCGGTACTAGTCGACAGAGCTGCCGTTCTAGCGGTTTAATGTTAATTCAAAATATTATATTTATAATTTAAATATGATGCAAAACAAAAAATACCTTGTAAACAATTGCATTTATATTTTAAGAGTTGTTATAAAACGCATTCAGTATACGGAAGACATCGCCGTTGTAATTCTCCAAATGCGTCCTTCCCGCCTCGTATTTGCATTCAGTAAATAGATCATAGTTCTGTCTATGGAACCAGTAGTTTCTCGTAGAGCTATCAGCACCAACATCTAGTGTATTCAGCTGAAGGACTCCAAAGTGGAACGTCCGACCGTCTGTCTGGACACTCTGCACAACAATGGGCTTAGGAAGAGTCCCCTGCATAGATGGACCGTGCAGTTGCCTGGCTCGTGCCGCAGCCACCACGAAAGCCTTGACCAGTGTCCTTGCTTGCAGTTGGGATGTTGTGACCTCTGAGCCGTGGGTATTGCCAACCAGGTGCTTGTTGAAGACCGTGAATATCGTGTGGGGATGGGAACATTTAACATCTGTCCTTAGGGCTGTAAGATATTATGCTTTAACATCAATGCGAGCTAGTAATTTACAAAACTCACGGTAGAAATTGTCTGTCACATAAATGTGGTTTTTCGGTATCGAAATGTTGCTCTTCATGGGATAAAGATCGGGCAGGTTTCCCTCAAATTTACCCTTGATCCCCTCAATGGCACGATTGGCGAATATGACTTTTTCGGCATTAACAGCAAAGCCTAGCAGGTCGCCGTCTTTAGTCAAGGAGGTCTTGAAGGTGGCATTATCTGCAAACTTTCGTTTCACAGAAACCGAACGTCCTGCTAGTTTTTCCACCTCTTGCAGGAGTTTGTTTACCAAAAGGCGACTGAAATGAAATTAAGCATTATTTACACCGCAATTAAGCAGTTGAGAGGTCTCCCTTACTTGACTCTGCCGTGGGAAATGCCGTAGGGCCGTGGAAGGTTAAAATTTGGTCGTTCCGGCCACCGCACCTTGGGCAGCTTCACCTGCTCCGCATCAAGCACGTGGGCAGCTGCAACAGCATGCCGTACACTCTTGTCAATAGAACTGGGCAGTTCCTGGCTGGCCAGGGCATCCTCGATCTGCTTGGGGAACGTTTGGATCTCGATGGCGTTGGTGAGCACCTGAGCCTGGGGCAATCCACCAACCAGTACACTGCCATCGGAGTAGGAATGGCAAACGGTGGAGTGCCAGTTGGGATGACTGCTGTCCTCGGGAATCGTTGGCTGGCGGTCGCCCACTACCTCAACCCTGTGAATCACAAGTTATTCAGCATTGCTACTGGATTTTAGTTTGTTATGCTCACCTCCTCCTTTCCTTTCTGGGATTTAGTATGTCTTCGGGAGTCTTCACAGCCACAGCCAATTTCAGGAGCTCAGCGGCAGCGCCTGTCTCCTTTGGCACACGCTTTCCCTGGACAAGCCAGTGCTTCTTGAAGTGCCAGCCAATGTGCTGGGCACATAAAGTGTTGGTCAGCCGCATTTCAGTTAGGATTCAGCAAATGTTTTCGTTAAAAGAAATGAGTGGCCGGCGGACTGGTTATGAAATGCCCATTAGAGATGGGCAATACTCGTGACTGCGATTAATTACTGAAAAGAATTTGGTCACACTTTGTTATGTTTACATATATCGATAGATTCGGAAATAGGTTTGGCGCCTTTTGAACGTTCGCTCTATACACATATTTATATTGATTAAACGTGGTTCTGGAATGTCGTATATTTCAAAGAATTTCAAAAATATGCTAAAAATATGCGCTACCGCGCATTTAGCAAAGGTGACAGTCCTACCAAAACAGGTGGCAGCTCCAAGTAGCAACGGCCACGAAAAGTGGCAGTCCCACAAAACAGACTACTTAAAACTCGGCAACCCTGACAAACCGTCAGCGAATTTGGTGGATGGTGGGCGAAAACACGATAAAAAAATAAAAGTTGTTTCTGCCGAACAAAACCAATTGGAAATGCCAGTGTTTCAGTGACTGTGAAAAGTATGCAGATAAATCCAGTTAAAAACAGTAAATAAATAGTGCTCCGTTTATGGCTCGGGAAATTCGCTGCATTTAAGCCTGGATGATTAGGCAGAAGAACAGGTTTTAGGCCGTGGCAACAACGAAAGAGAAAAAACTTGGGACTGGCTTATACCATTTACGCCATTAGCTGAGGTCGCCGTCGATTGTTTTGTGTGTGTGTATGGGCTTGCGGGCGTTTTGTTTTGTTGTCTGTTCAATATTTGGCTATATTGCCCAAATCCAATTAACAATTAACGGCTGAACGGGGAAAAAGTGCAACAATTTCTGGCTAATTGAATTTTACGTGTATTTTATTTTGGTTTTAGACCAGCGCAACAACAACAGCGAGCAGCGAGTAGAAAAGAGAGAGAAGAGAGTGTTTTTTTTTTTGTGTTTTTTTTCTTGGCTTAAACCAAAGCTCAGGTAGTCAGAATACACACAGGCACACGCACACACAGAGAGACAGTGAGAGACGTGCCTATACAAATGGCTAGCACGCAAAGCTAAAACAATAATTATCCAATTAAACGGTTGTCAAAGAATGCATTTAATTTCATTGGTCAATGGGTGAGCGAGAGAATGAGGCAAAAAGTGGTAATGAGAGCGAGCAACTAACAGTAATTTTCACGGGCATCCAATACGAGTGACTGTGTGTGTATGTGTGTCTGTCGCTCTCTCTCTGTGTTTGTGTGAAGTGCTAATGAGATGCTGTGACGCTCTTCTTCTTATTTGTTGCTTTTGCCATTTATGCAAAGAAACGCAAAAAATACAAAACAAAAAAAACAAGCTTAAAAAAATGCTAACAAAAGTTGAACAAAAGATTTCGCGCAAAAGGTGAAAGCCACTCGCGTTGCTCCCGCCGTATACGCAATGCCGTGCAGTTTCTTTGTGCGTCGCTCGAGACCGTTAATGCAATCATCATCGCCCGCTCATAAACGTTCCGTTCTCCATTCCACTCCAGAGAGACGATGCAGACTGCCAGAGCCAGTTCCTCGCAGAAACTCCACGAATAAGAAGCCACAAACCATGTGATGCAGCAGCGGAGGTCGAGAGGTCGGAACACGCAGCCTACAAGTAGCTAGGTCAACCACACACAACCCCCGCACCACACACAGGCACGCAGACGCCCGGACGCGGAACCAGAATCCACGCGACAGCCGCCAGATGAGCTGGCTGCCGGGGCTCCTGGGCCTGCAGCTCCTGCTGCAGTTCCTGTGGCTCCTGCGGCTGCCCGGCGAGCTGCTGGCCATTCCCACGCCGCTCAAGTTGCCAGGTGAGTTTTTGTGGACTTCCTGGGGTGCCATCATAAAGGCGAAAGGATTATAAACAAATTTAATTTCACTAAACAGTAATATCCCCAAGAACTCCACAAATGGTTTTAATTAAATTTGATATTAGTTCCATGTCAATTTCTTTCTTTGGAGTCTGTGAATCCAGTGAAGGACTCATTTCCAACCCTATAAATCCTATATATTCTTGATCAGCATCAAATGCAGAATCGATCTGGCTATCTCAGGCGGGAAAATAAATTTCTCAAATTTTATAATGATCATTTTAATAATGATAATCGTTAAAATGATCAAAAATTGATAACAAATTTTTATATCTGAAAATTTTAAATGAAGTATGCAGATTTATTAATCTAATAAAATCCAATATAGAATAGCTTTCCGAACTAAAATTAAGCAATTTTTGGCTCAGTTATGAGTTTTTTAAACTTAGATTGTTAAAAAAAATTGTCATATTAAAATAACCATAAATACCATTTCAGAAAACTCGAGTATTTAAAGCTTTTTTAGGATCCGATATCCGTTTTGATCCTAGACATCATAAATTATTAGTTAATAACTTCGTCATTCCTATGTTAGTTTCCTTTTTTTTAATATTACTTTAAAAAGGATAAGGATAAGTTGTCCTAACCATTTTAAACAAGTATAATTTGGCATAATTCGGCAAACAAATATATGACTTAATATTAGATTTTATTAAATCTCTTCAGCATACAATATTTTAAATACTAAAAAAATTATTAGGCTCAATACGTTAACTAAAACCTTTTAATATATTTTTTTTTTTAGAAGAATATAATTATATGCGTATGTAATATGCATGATTTCCAAGTTACACCTTGATAACCATATTTGTAAAATAAAGCCTTCCTTTTAAGTCAAACAAAAGACTTTACATTAATCAACTTATATTTAAACAAAGGTTAAAAAACTCTCGATAAATAAAAATGGTAAACTTCATAAGAATGACCTTAGCTGCTGTACTTAACTTTTGAATTAATTTTGAGCTCTTAAGATTTATTACCATAAGTCTTACCTGTTCATCACTGTAAACTCTCTTCATCATTTACTAAGAATTCTCTTCCTTTTGTGTGCAGGTTACACCCACAGGTTGACTCCCTACATCAAACACTGGGAGGCGGCGAACTTCGATCGCGGTGTGCTGCAGGCGGCCCAAGTCAGACACCTCGAACAGGCTCGCTTCCGGCAGAAGCGACATGTGGAGGAGGCCAGCTCCACACCGAGTGGCTTGGCGCACACCATTCGCTTAAATTTCTCCGCCCACGACAGGTGAGTGCACTTAAAGAGCAATGTAAAATCATTTAATCATCAACCACTTTCGACCTCCCGCAGAGATTTTCGCTTGGTGCTGCGTCAACAGCCACATTCGGTGTTCGCCCACGACGTGGAGATCGAGAACACACTGGGCCCCATCGATTACGATGTCTCCCGCATTTACACAGGCAGCCTGGAGGATGACGAGGCGGCCCATGTACAGGCTATTCTGACCAGCGACAACCTGCTGGACGGGACGATAGAGACTCAAGCTGAGCACTATTACATAGAGCCGGCGCAGCGGTACTCCCAGCAGCTGGCCGAGAGTGGTGTCCACAGCATAGTCTATAAGTTAAGTGATGTAAATATGCAGAAGGAACAGTTTACAGGCGGAGGACTCAACTCTGCGGCGCCCGTTAAGACGCACTGCGCCAGTGAGAAACTGAGAAAGAAACGCTGGCTGCCAGAGGAGGTGAGATTTCAGGGATTTCCTGTTTAAACTTTATAAACTCTACTTAAAATCTTAATTCTTCCTGCAGCTGGCCATGTCGGATGCTCCTGCGCCCACATATAATCGCAATCCGCCCCTGCCGCTGGATTTGGAGGTGCCCTACAATGACGACTTCCGTGTGCTGGCCTCCGAGGAGGACAAGAGCGACGAGTCGCCCAGGAAGTACCCAACAACATCCACAACCAGAAGCACTGTGCGCAGCACGGAGAGCTTCCTGGCCACGCTGACGAAACCCACGTCGAATCGCAACATACTTGTAAATAACTACAATCCCTCCAATGTCGGCGAGGGCAGTCGCAGCTACAGCAATAGCAACAGTAATAGTAATAATAATAACAATAGTGGTGGCAGCAGTAGCAGCAACAACAACAACAATGTCCGGAAGTTGTACACGAAGCACAAGAACATCATTGTGAGCACGTACAATCGACCCATCGAACCGGAATTCGGTACGCCCTACGAGGAACCCAACAACAATGGCAACAGCAGCAGGGGCGACCTGCCCAGTAACTTCTTCAATGCCAATTGGACGACACTATTTCTGGGTAACCAAAACAATGGCAATGACCGGCCAAGCCACAAGACGCACGTGGAGATTATTACCAAGAATGGAGCCACCAAGAAGCCGAATATAATTGTGAATAACTATAATCCTGAGATTATATTTGCTCCCAATCCGCACAATCCGAGCTTCAACAGCATGCTGATGACGAATCTTCTCAGCGGTCGTGGCGAGGATATTCATAGTTCCCCGCGTCTGCTCTACGATCGCAAGACCACTTGCATGTTGTACCTGCAGGCGGATCACACGTTCTTCCAGAAAATGGGCTCAGATGAGGCATCCATCGAAGCCATTACGCGGCATGTGCAGCGGGCCAATACGATATACCGAAATACAGACTTCAACAATGATGGAAAGCCGGATAACATTACATTCATGATTAAGCGCATCAAGGTGCACAACATGAATGCGATGAAGGATCCCAGCTATAGATTTCCGGGAAACTATGGAGTGGAGAAGTTCCTGGAACTGTTTTCGGGTAAGATATGGTAGTAAGCACAGTGAGATGAAGTGTTTGATTGATTGATTTGTTGTCTTTGACTCTCGGAGATTTGTTTTCATTAAGTATTATTATCTTCATCAGTGTCTGAGGTGTCAAATTCATTAATTTTTTGCAAACTCTTCAAGGTTAATGACTGTGTTTATTTAAGAAGTAAGCAAAATTGATGACATCTCAATTAAAAAATGGCCATTGACCCGCAAATATGTTGTTAATTTTGGTTCCTAACCAATGACATGGTTGTTTCTGTAAGACCTTGAGCAAACATTAATCACGAATTTGTTGTCCCATCATGTTAGATTATTTATTTAATATTTATTGATTTTCTTGTGTCTTGCAGAGGAAGACTATGATGCCTTTTGCTTGGCCTACATGTTTACCTATCGGGATTTCGAGATGGGAACTTTGGGTTTGGCCTGGACAGGTGATCTGAAGAACGCAGGTGGTGTGTGTGAAAAGAATGGTCACTATAGAGGTTCCCTAAAGTCTCTGAACACGGGCATAGTCACCCTGCTGAACTATGGAAAGCATGTGCCTCCCGCTGTGTCACATGTGACATTGGCCCACGAAATTGGTCATAATTTTGGCTCTCCGGTGAGATTTATCTTAAATATTTCTCTAATATATAATAATCCCCTATTTATTTAAATATATAGCACGATCCGGAGCAGTGTACGCCTGGTGGTGAGGATGGTAACTTCATCATGTTTGCCCGCGCCACGTCGGGAGACAAGAAGAACAACAACAAGTTCAGCACATGCTCGTTGAAATCGATAGAGCCAGTGTTGAATGCCAAGGCACGTTCCATGAAAGGCTGCTTCACAGAGCCGCAGTCATCGATTTGCGGCAACGGAGTGGTGGAGCCGGGTGAGCAATGCGACTGCGGCTGGGAGGAGGATTGCAAGGACTCGTGCTGCTTCCCCATGTCGCGGCAGCCGCGTATCGACGAGACTCCCTGCACCCTGACACCGCATGCCCGATGCAGTCCCTCGCAAGGACCTTGCTGCACCACCGACTGCAAGCTGAAGTTTGGTGATAAGTGTCGCGATGACAACGGCTGTCGGGATCCTTCATTCTGCGACGGACGGGTGCCCCAGTGTCCGCCATCGGTGAATAAGCCAAACAAGACCATCTGCAACAAGGAGTTCGTCTGCTACATGGGCGACTGCACTGGGAGTATTTGCCTGGCTTATGGCCTTGAATCGTGCCAGTGTATTCCGGGGCCCCAGGACGATCGGATTAAGTCGTGCGAGCTGTGCTGTAAGCTACCCGGCGAGGATAATCCCTGCCGCAGTTCATTCGAGTGGAATGAGGCTCCCTTCGATGTGCCCGATATGTACTCGAAGCCGGGAACGCCCTGCAATGACTACAATGGGTGAGAATATCTAAAGAGCTTTAATTAAATTAAATGTTTAATATCCCTTCCCCTTTTTCAGATACTGTGACGTCTTTCAAAAGTGTCGAGAGGTGGATCCCTCTGGTCCTTTGGCCACTTTGCGAAAGCTCTTGCTTTCGGAGGAGAGCATTGCCACCTTCAAGAAGTGGATGCAGCACAACTGGTACACAGTGGCCCTGGCTGCCATTGGCGTTATCCTGCTTCTGGTGAGTACACAAACTATATATCATTATTTATAATATAATATATTATTTGGTTTTGAAAAAGTTAATGAAACTGATAACGCAAATGTTAAGGGATCAGGTCGAGGCCAAAGCGCAAGCTAGGGCTGAGACCTTGGGTGAGCGCACTCTGATTTCCAGTGCCCAGTAAAATCCTGTAAAATTAATGGAGAAATCACTCATTTAGCAGTTGATTTTAAAGCTAATTTTGATATAAATCTTTAGGCTAATAGTCACTTGAACATTTATCCCAATTCCAATTGATATCCTTTTATTTTTAAACTTTTTAATATCTAATTTCGTTTGCAATAACCTTGCCTAATCAATATTTTCCAATATTATCCACAGGCGCTGAGCACAAAGCTGCTGGCGAAGCGATCGAATCTGAAGCTTAAATCCGTCACCATTATACACAGTGCCACCACGGAGACAGTCAGGCTGCCGGAGAACAACAATGGAGTGATAGTACACACCGCCGTGCGGACAAAGGTTCCATTTAAAAAGAAGGTACGTGGTGAGAGAACTAAGAAACCAGGAACGGCGACAACGGGAGCGGTGACAGGAGTGGCTGGAGTAACTGCAGCAACTGGTGTGACATCCCGAGGAGCTGCCAAAAACATTGTCAATGCAGAGCCCAAGAAGACAGCACGGTCCCAGGCTATAAACAAGAAGAAATCCCTCGAGGAGGAGCCGAAGAAATCGAGCAAAAAGCTGGGCAAGCACATGAAGGAAATTATCGACTACTCGCACCGCAACAACAACGGCGCAGATGATGCCTCCAACTTGTCGACCACCAACAACCACACCAACACCTTTGGTAAGGTGCAAAAGTGGCTACTGGAATCACCCATTGTGGCACAACCTTTGTCCCATATCGAGCACAGTTCTCGGGTTCGCAAAGTGATGAGCAAATCGCAGTCAACTCCCGAAAGGCTGGTGCAGAAGACGCCCCAGAAGACCAAGTCCATGGGTAATCTGTCCAACGAGAAGGTCAAGCTACAGGTGGTGTATAAGCCGCCCTTCAAATTCTCCCTGCGTCTGTCTAAGAAGCCCAAGGTGAAGACCCATGTGGTGGGCGCTGGAGTTCGACCCAAGCGAGGCCAAAAGACCAGTGCTGGCCGAGCGGCTGGACCATCTGCCTCTGCCACCAAGGATGCCACGACACGCGCCAAAAGGAGTGCCCTGCTGCTCTGCAACGAGGCTGAGGACGACAACCAGATCCTCACACTCAACGAGCCCAACTATGAGACCTTAAAGCCGCCAACGCCACCCCGTTCCATGGAACATTGCTACGAAAACGTGGATATGCAGGTCGAGGCCTCCTCATCGAAGCCCAGCAGTAGCAGTAAAGTGGCTCCTAGCTCACAGAATAGAGCGAGCCTCCTGGAGGCTGCTCCTCAACCAGCGCCAGTGCCTGTCCAAAGGAGCTCCTATCGCAGATCAAACTCTCTGTCCAACCACAATCCCTTCGCAGCAGCTCCTCGTCGGAGCAGCAGTAAGGCCAGCGGATCGGTGAACTTAACGCGCAACTTTGGAAGCACTCAGAATCTGATAAATCTAAGTCAGAATCTTGCCAAAACCAAAAAGCGCAGCAGCTTGAACCTTAAGGCTAGCAGTGGAGGAAACAGTGGAGCAACGAGGGGACCCAAGGATCCACCTACAATGGCAGTTGCTTCGCCTCAGAGACGTTCCTCTTCGAATGCGAATCTACGCCGGGATAGCAGTGTCTCCTCTTCGAAGGCAGTACCCGTTCCTCCGACAAGAAACTCCCGGAACAGCTTCAGCAACATTCCCAGAGCAAGCCTAGGAGGAGGAGGAGGAGCGAACGGTAACTCCAGTGCCACTTCAGGGCCTCCGCCCAGTTTCTCTCGCCAATCTTCCAGCAGCACAGCGACCAGCAGCTCCTCTCTTGCTCCACCCGGAGCAGCCTTGCAACAATCCGCCTCTACCAGCGCCATGCAGCGCCAACCGCCCACACAGGCCACGAGGAGAAGCCTCCAAAACTTTCGGTCGCGTTCCAATGCAGCTGGTCCACCGCCCCCAGTTGCTGGTAAGCCAGGAACAGCAGCGGGAGCACCTGCTGCTGAGAACAACGAGCTGCCCTCCGATCTGGAGGTGGTCGTCTCCGATGTGGAGAACCTGGTTAGCTAAGGGCAGCCGGTCCGGGTCCGGTTCCCATTCCGATTCCGATTCCAGTTCCCCAAACCAACCAAGTGAAAGTGATAAGTCTTAATGTTAGTTATACAAATTGTCGCATAGGTTTACTTGCATACATATATATATATTTGTACAGACATTACATTATATATATGTGTACTTTACACTGCCTTAAACTTGCCGTTTCTGCTGAATATGTGAATACCACGCCCACTCACCCGACACTCGGACACACAGACAACACTCAACTCAATTCAACCGCATTCCACGCACATTGCCACGCCCATATAAATACCCCGACCAAGACTGCATCACAGCAGCGTCCACGGAACCAATCACCCAAGCGCCCAACCCGCCCACTGAAGCCACTAACGCCACCGCAATCCCAACCGCCAGCCGCACTCACCGCACTTTGTACCTTTAAAACTGTTTACTGTTATACTGAGTATTGTGTAAATTTAGTTTTGGCTAAAAGTATCATGCTACCAGCTGCAAATTTTGTGAGTTTTTTAAAGATTTATTTAGTTTGAAAATGTATATTTTTGTTTAAATTCGATTTGAAGATCTTAAAACACCGAATTCAGTCGATGTTACTAGCTGTATAGTAAAATTTGGAATGATACTTCTTCTGTAAGATTTTTCGATCTTATGAATAAGATGCTAAACTTTGATATATTCAAATTATAAATATCAATGTTGCATTTAGGATTCAAATATTGATGTTTACAAAACTATTGAATAGTATAATATTTAATCCTTTATTTAAATCAAAATTTGCAGTTGGTAACATGGCCCACTATATACTATTAAGTTAAACCATTTCGATAGTGTGTTTTTCAGAGCAATGAATGAGCTTTACCTATAAACATTAAAATATAACTCACTCTCAATATTAAAAACACAGTTTACAACACACCATCGAAATGGTTAACCCTATTTAAACTCCCTATGTTGGCCGCTACTTGGCACCTACTTTCAATTAATTTTAAAACAGTATTACTGAAAATGTTATGTACCTTCTACTATCATCGATCGATTTATATATTAGTTTGGCCTGCTCTACCTACTACAAAGTTTCGAACAACGATCACTACGAATCATCTGAACTTCGACGACACACAGAACAATACAAGGTGCTATTTTTAGTAACGAACTAAAACGTAAAATATTAGCCGAGAACATTTCGTAAAATCCTTTGCATATTTCTCAAGATCAAAACTAAGATTAGGAACGCATAGAGGAAGAATGAGGTTGGAGGAGATGTAGCCTATAGATAAGATGTGGAGCCGGGGAAGTTGCAAATAAGTTTACCGAATAGATTCAGAGATAACCAACGATAACTGTCAATAAATCAAAAGCATCATGCATCGAAATGTAGGTTTTTAGAGAATGCCACATAGAACTCCCAATCACCCCACCTGTTGACACGCATCCCATAGATCCCATAGAGCGAGCTGGGGTGGCCCTTACAGGGTAGCTCTGCCGGCAAATGCAATTCCTTAGCTGTAGTGTAAATATTATATCGACAGGACATAGTTTTATATGCAATACCAAATTAGAGCAATGAGAACAAACAATAATGAGACACCTAAACCTACGATATTGATACGCGCCTAGGATATACATATAGAGTCACATTCCGTATCGAATCACACTGCAAGCGGCTTTTGAGTAACACACACTAACCCACAACACACCCAGCAGCAGCAATAATGATCCGTAGGATAAGTTAACAAACAATTGATATTTGTAGCTATATGAATGTGTAGGAAATCAAAGGCGTATCATAATTATATATACACACACGAGCATTTGGGTATATTTTTGTGAAATATACATATTGATAAGAGATATGGATCATAACATATATGTATAGTAAGCTCAGCTCAAGAAACCGACAACCGACCCATAAAGATCGAAAACGAGACAGAAAAGACAGTTAACGCGTAGGCCAGTAAAGAAACAGAAACGGAATAGTTACGAGTACGCGACAATCGCTTTGAAATGCTTAAAGAATAATGGTAAACTTGAAGAAATCGAATTAAAGTTTAGTTTCTAGTTATTTCAATATGAAACTATACAAGACAGAGAGTCAAAGGTAATGCCAAAGGCCTTATAATATCAAGACAATTAACGCTATACCAGAGCGCCAACGAAAGCCGATCTGTATGCATTATATTTTTAGATTTCTGAGATTTCCACATTATTCTAACAAGAGAGGCGCGCAATTCAAATGTATAGACGTTATAAATCTTGGTGTTATAAGGTCTTTGGTAAGGGCAAACAGGCAGGCAGGCAAGTGAGTTGAAACTTACCAAAAACAAAAAATAAATAAAAACTTATAAAATAACGAAGGATATAATAAATGCCAATGTTTGTGTACTGTATATAATTAAATGCAAATGATTATTGTCTAAGCAAATGGATGGAAGTATTTTGAGCGTGACAAAAAAAAAGACTATTTAGCGCGAAATGAACAATTTTTGTGTAATGTGTACATAAAAGATACCGATTGATTTTAATCTAAATATATATACATAATTATAAATGTAATTGTAAAACTGCAAAAGATTTTTAAATCTGTATGTGTATTGTGTACCTCAATTGTAATTAATTTTTTTTACATACTTTTCACGAGATGGATTAACGCTATTTTTATAATTTAGCTAAATGAATTATATAAACACGATCCCTAGTTAATGGCCAGTTTTAAATGTCCCTTACCCAGCCGAGGACCCCACATAAAATACAACATGTGTAATTTTGTCAATTAAGAACGCGTAAATGTCTTTAAGCGAAGCGAAACGAACGAAAACGAAATGAAATGAACAAAAAACAAAAACCGAAGAGCAAAGAAGTGAATATTAGCATTTTACGATTCATATATAATTCAAAACAATAATTAATTAATTAACGTATGTATTATGATTAGCGAACAAGACAAGCACATGTGTGACAATTCAGTTGTACTTTCTGTTACGATTACTACAATATTTTATTTATTAATCTTATTGTTAGGCATTAACACGAATGTATCTAATTTTAACCCGAACACACACACATGCGATACTTTATAATTTCCTCATTTTAAGCAAAATTCAATTAACAATAAAAACGAAACTAATACTTAAGGACGTTTCACTTTGGATTTAAGTTACTTATAAACCTAGTTGGCTTTTCGATCAGCCTTCTCCAGCTTTAGGGCTCGTTTGGCCATGATCCAAAAGTACAGACTCGGGCAGAGATGTCTTAGGTAATAGGCAACCTTGGCCTGGATATCACTCACAATAATATCAGGCTCCTTGCGAAGAATACACTGAAGAATGCGCTCCGCCAGCTTATCAGGAGACATGCCCTTGGCCGTGGTTTCATCCATTTCTTGAAGGGAAATCGAAATGGTTAATTAAAATAGTATTAGGGATTTTTGTGTTATTTCTGCTCACTTCCATAACTGCTGCCCGATCCTGTTAAGGCATTCAGCGAGAGCTGAGTGCGTATGTAGCCAGGACTTACGCAGGACACGTTGATATTCTGGCTGGCCACCTCCGCACGCAGGGAATCAGCAAAGGCTTGCATGGCATGCTTCGAGGCCGAGTAAGCGGCTCTCTGAGGAATGGCAAACTTTCCCTGAACAGAGCTAATAAAGCAGATGTGGCCACTGTTTCGTTTTACCATGGAAGGAAGTAGAGCTGAAATAAAATAAGACATTTAATATAATTTTCTTAAAAACAGAGCTTAGCTTACCCTTAGTTAAAGCCACACTGCCAAAATAGTTAACCACCATCACCTTGAGGTCCACATCTACAGCTGTGGAAGCCACATCTGCTCGCACACTAATACCACCATTGTTAATGAGTATGTCTACCTGATTGTAAACGGCCAGCACACGGGTGACAAATTCTGGAATGGAATTCAGCTCAGCCAGATCAAGAGCCAGCACAGTGGGTGGGTAAGCAGGGTCCTGGATAAAAAATTATGCGATTAATTAGTTCTTAACTAAATGAAATATTAATTTAGCAAATGCTTTACCACATCCAGAGCCAGCAGATCCTTTTTAACCCGCTCCAATTCCTGAGTTCGACGTGCCGCCAATATCACTTTACACCCAGCACGGTAAAAGACATGGGCCAGGGACTCACCCAACCCCGAACTGGCACCGGTGACGACCACCACCTGTTAATAAGTTTACATAATTAATTGGTTTCCCTTACTCTTCAAAGCTCTATCAAAGTTACCTTTCCTGGCAATTGATTGCGGTATTTCTGAGCCCTGAACCGCTGCCAGATATTGAAGAGAGCCAACGGCAGGACCACCGGCATCAGGATGGTGCCCAGCACCCAGTAGAGCACATTCCAGTCGCTGCTGGGGGCACATTTTTCCAACTCTTGCACTTTCATTTTCCTAAAGCGCGCAGGAACTTTGAACTCTCCGACAATGCAAAATGATTAGTGAAGGAAAAACAAATCGCATATGACATTCGCATGGAACTTAATCTACACAGCTGTGTCAACGCTTCTCTGTGAATGGCAACCTCGATCAGCTGTTGATTGTTACGTTATTGCGTTCAGCGGCCAGTTTATTATTTAGTTAAAAACTATAAAAATTGAACAAATGCCGAGATGAACAATCTTTTGAGACAAGGACAACGCCTGGCCTTGGTTTTACCGGCTGCTGCTCAACAACAAATCCACACCACAGCCGTGCACCGGACATTCTGGGAGCGCGAAAAGAAATCGGGCTACAAGACCAAGTTGCCGGAACCCTCAAAGAAGCAGCTCATCATAGACGGATTAAAATATCTCAAGGAGGAGATCAAGCTCTGGCGCAAGGAGGTCAAAGAGCACCTGGAGAGTGACCCGATATTGGTGTTCCGGCCGGGTGAAACGGATGTGGTCTTTGACTTCAAGTCGCCCAATGTGCTGGACAACTGGACGGTGACCACGGATGCGGATCACGGTGAGGGCAAGAGCACTGCATCGCTGGAACTAAGTGCAGCAGGAGCGGGACTCTTCCACGGCGAAGTGAACTCGGATCACACCAAAGATGGCATTATCAAGAGGACGGGCTATGCGAATATTCGTACAAAGAGAGTGCGGGTACGTTGACTTGAATTTGAATTTGATTGGCTTCCTTTAGTTAATTCTTCTTCCTTTTGTAGAAATCCTTTAAGCGAGAGTCCACCTACGACTGGACGCAATACAACATGCTGATAATGAAAGTGCGAGGCGATGGACGCAGCTACCTGATCAACCTGCACACCGAGGGCTACTTCGATCTGATGTGGAACGACATCTACCACTATGTGCTGTATACCCGCGGTGGACCCCACTGGCAGATTGCCAAGATACCCTTCTCCAAGTTCTTCATGTCCTCCAAGGGACGTGTCCAGGATCGCCAGAGCGCCATTCCTTTGAACAGGGTGACACACTTTGGTTTCTCGGTGGCTGCCAAGAAGGGAATGGATGGACCCTTTGGCTTGGAAATAGACTATGTTGGATTGCAGTATGATCCCAGCCATCACGAGGAGTTTGCCTATGAGATGTACCAGACGCCCAAGTACATTGTGGCTACGTAGCGTTACGTAGCGCGTTACGTTACGGCAACAGTGTTATTTAATTGTTAAAGAATGTGTGAAATACAGTAAATAATGATTTACAGTGACTTTTTTCTTATTTGAAACCATGCTGTCCAGCAATTCGCTTGGGAATTTTTAAAATACTTTAGAAGGGATATAACGATCCTTTTATTATTATAAAGTCAATGTATTTTCTTGTTTTTCTAAGTGCAAATTGTATATAGCACTGAAAAATAAATAATTGGTTTTTATCTTATTCTTTTAACATATTACAATTTTAAAATATATCACTTTGGTAAAGTTTCACGTAAACAATACACACTGTATTTCACAGCTGTTTGTTCTAGCTCTCTTTCGCTCTCTCCCCTCTCACTATGCCTCTCTAGCCGAGCCTTTCTCTTGAAAATCAGCTGTTAAAATGTTTACATTCACTTCGGACATGCCTTCAGGGTCATTTTTGCGTTGAAATTGCAGTTTTTATACCTTTTCCAGAGGTATTTTTACCTCTCCACGGCTGCCAATTAGCACTCGGCTTTTTGGGAACGCGGCTTGTGCGCTTTCAGCTTTTAGTCTGCTCCGCAACTTCGACCGATAAAAGACGCCGGAAAAACTTCCGTCGCGGGAGATAGTTGCTATAGAGCTTACGTTCGGTGCTTCATTACCATTATCAGACATTAGATAAAAACATGGTGAGTGTTATTTCTAGGTAGTGAAAACAAAAATAAACACTGCCAACAAGACATAATCAATGTAAATATATAAAAAGAATCAAGAAACCATCGTGATGTGACCATGTGGCAGTTCAGTCAACCGACCTTGGGGCTCACGTTTTCGCTCGTTTTAAATCCTGGCTAAAAACCACAACAAACTAAAATCAATATCTGGACTACGTCTACTACATATAATTATTTACGCACCTTACCGGTTTGCTGGTACCGCTTAATTTATGCTAAAAAAAAATGGAAAATAAGATAATATAAAAGAAACAAAACCAGTCAAGTCGGCGGTGGCCATCGAATCGAAAGTGTTGGGCTGCAAGAAACCAGTTCTAGTACCATTCCTGAAACCGCGACCACTCCGGCTCCACCTTTTTGCCTGTTGATTGAGTTGCGCTTCAGTTTTACCTCCATTGCTGACGTGTTTAGTACGCTGCGAATATGGTGCAATATACGGTATAGTTAAGCAAGGCCTAAAACTATCCCAAATCGAAATAACAACAATTTCTTCAAGTTTTTATATACCTAATATATTCGTAACGTTTTCCCAGTGCTTTAGTTTGCAATCTGTCGTAATAATTAATATTCCCTTTATTTAAACTGGCTCTAATCTCATTAATCCCATTATCTCTTACAGGAGGAAACGTATCTGTACGATCCCAGTCTGCTGATAAAGCTTGACTTTCATCGCAGCCCCGCCAAGTTCAAGCCTTTCATATCGGCTGCCAATCCCGGCGAGCCATGGATGAAGGTGCGTCCCTTAAAGGATACGGACTATGACCGTGGTTTCCTGCAGCTGCTCTCCCAACTCACGCATGTGGGCAATGTCAATCGCACACAGTTTTTAAGTAATTCAAAGATATTGCTTTAATTAAAGGAATTATATTAATTATATTAAATTCATACCCAGCCCGCTTCTCGCAGATGAAAGCTAGCGGGGATTACTTTGTCACTGTGATTGAGGATACGCGCAAAAACGAGATTATAGGAGCTGCATCCTTGGTGATTGAACGCAAGTTTATCCACAATTGTTCAGTGGTAAGTTAAGAAATAAATCAATTTTCTTAAAAGGTTTAACTAAAAAATGATTAATTCCTTAGCGTGGACGTCTGGAGGATGTGGTGGTCAATGATACCTATCGCGGCAAGCAACTGGGCAAGCTGTAAGCCATATATATTCCAAAATATTGCAGATCAATCTTTAATGACTATTTTCATCCAGAATCGTGGTCACCGTTTCTCTGTTGGCCGAAGAACTTGGCTGCTACAAGATGTCCCTCGACTGCAAAGACAAGCTGATCAAGTTCTACGAATCCTTGGGCTATGTGCTAATCCCAGGCAACTCCAACTCCATGACGATTCGCTATGACGAGGGACCAGCGCTCAAGCGAAATGCCACCTCAGCCGGCACCAGCAACAGTGGAACAGTGGGCGACTCCTGCCAAACTGTGAGCCTCGATTTTGCCTCTTGACAATTAGCCGCCAACGCTGCTCCAAAGTCCAAGCTTTGAGTGGGTCCCAAGCCTAACTCAAAGCTACAAACTGCGCGAAGCGCAATGCAGGACATTACAAAACTGAATAATGAATAATGTAAATTATACTTTGCATAGGCAAAATTCCATTGCGCTGAGTGCGAAATTGGATTTTTGGACAGCGCTGGCTGGCGGTGGTGTCCTTGCGGGGCAACTCCAACTCGCCCCCGAGGACATACAATTAGTTATTTAGTTAAAAGGCAACAGCAACCTATGTTGCTCTTTCTGTTTTTATAATCCTTACAGAACTCTCAATTTTATAATTTTTTCTCCCCTTTCTGCTACTGATTGATTGTGCGGCCTCAAAACTCTCAACTCAAAGGTAGTTGTAATCTTACCTTTTAAAAGCACCTTCATCAAGTAGCATTTTATTTGATAAATAAACAATCGAAAGTAACCATAAAACTGATCACGAATTATTGTTATTACTATCTGGTAAAAGATTTAATTAGTTTTTGCATCACTTTTTAACAAACAACTTTTATTAAACATTAAATTAAATTACGAAGTTTTATTGATGTAAATACTAAAACATTTAAAAAACTATTGTGCATTAGTGAAAAACTTTAATTTTTATAAATCGAAATATCTGTAAATTACTTTATTTCAAAAATAGTAAGCGTATAAACGTAGTGTAGAACTCGAACAGACGTTGCAATTCCGGTTTATATACCAGAGTTCAATAATTGCATCGAGAATATATATAGTTCTAAAGGATTTCTCTTTGGGTACTTATAGAGCTATATACATAGAACTTAATTGGCATGAAGGAGCTGAGAGAACTCAGCCTCCTCCGCGTCTCATGAGTACGCACACAGATGTCCGCACTTGGGGCATTTGGAGTGCTTGGCAAAGTACTTCTGCAGGTGCTCGATGTGACCGCCGTGGGAGCAGCCCTGGCACCAGGCATACACCCCGCGGACAATCAGGCCGCACACACAGCACTTGGCCGACTGCATGGACTTGCACTTGTCACAGTACCAACCTACCTTGCCGCCCATGGGGCGTCCGCATTCGCCGCAGTTGGTGTGCATCGCTGTGGAGTGCTGATTGAGCTGCTGCACAGAGCGCAGCCAGGAGCGGTTGATCACCTCGCAGGCCTCGTTCCACAATTCATACCGATGCAGTTGGTCCACGTATGTGTGGAACCAGTGTTCCTTAAGTAGAAAAATCAAAAAATTAGATAAGAGACTTATTTTGTGAAGTATCATTTACTTACCACCAATGTATCCTCAATGAGCAGGAATTTGCGAGCTTCTCCTAGTGAAATGAGCACTGTCAAAGCCGTTTGCACATCGCCCACATCGTTCATTAGCATTAAGGCATCGGTCACAAATTTGTGCGGTTCCCACATCGGAATGGGTGGCACATGGCTGACCTTTAGCACAGTAGGAATATGGGGAGGCTGTAAAAATAATCAAAAATCATTAAATACTTCGAAAAACTCAACAAAATGTATTCGAAACCTACAGGCGACTTCTCATGATCGGAAGCCTTGAGATCCAGCGGCGGCCGCGCTGCCTGGACATCGTGATGCAGGGCAGGAAATGCCAATGCTTTGGCACATTCCGTGGGTCCCACATAAATAAAACCATTGCGCAGCAGCTCAAAGTTGTCGAACGTTATCTCGCTGATGATTTGTGTCTCGGAGAGAATCACAGAACTAGTTGGTGGATGCTCTACTCCGCTGTCGCTCAGCGCATCATCATCCACATTCGCCGCGGCGGTCTCATGTGCCGTCTCCTGAGTGTTCCCATTGAGGTCCTGGCCAAGATCACTGCGCTGCTGCGGCCTATCGCTGGCCACTTGAGTGGCGCGCCGAGAGTTCATGGGATTCTTTTGATTCGAGAAGGAGGAGCGGTGTTCGAAGGGCGGCTCAAAGTGATTGCTACCATAGAAGAGCTTGATAAAGTTCCACAATGTGGTGGCCTGATGGAATACATTTGAGTCAGCATATTAAAAGGATTCATAATGGTTTATATTACTCACATTATGCTTGCCATATTTCTTAGAAACCTCTGCATTATGCTCACAGAGTTCAGACAGCTTCCTGCCACTGATAATCAGTTCCCTGGCGCAACCTATAAAGCTTTCGTGTTCCTGCGTGGGTCTCGATTCGGACTCACTCAGCGGATAACCAGAAATCTAAGAAAAAACGAGATAAGTTAGCATAAGTTGTGTTATGATTTAAATGTAAGAATCCCACCGTATCGTTGAGCATAAATTTGTACATCTTGGAATGGTCCAAATGGAACTGAATACTTCCAGCCACATTCGCTTTCCGGCGACTTCTGAAACGGTCATCAATAGTTGTTACTTAAATTAAACACTTTAAATATTATCCAGAAATTACATAAAGCTGGTGGTTTTGGTGTTGGAGGCCCCACTGGCCTTGGGAGCGTACTCCTTGATTTTGTTGGCAAAGGAGATGTCTCCGAATCGCCCCTGGCTGGCTCCCTGGGCATTTGCCTTCAGGGCTGGCCTAGTGGCATCCTTGAAGGCATGCTTATAGATGGTGGAGTCCTTGCTGGTGGAGAGAAGGCAGTGCGAGTCGCTACCCTGCCACGCGATGCCAGTGGTCACGTTGGTGTGCTCGTTGAAGGAGGCAAAGGGTATGTAGGGTCTTCGGATGTCCCACACATGGACACTATAGTCTACCACAAGGGCGCAGCTAGCAATGTGATAGCTACAGAGGATTACAAACAGGATTCCGAGTTAATTGGACTGTAAAATCTTGAGTTATAGTATGAATCTTACGTTCTCTCTGGACGCCACTTCACCCGTCCGACCACTGCAATTGTGTGGATGGTGTGCTCCAGTCCTGGCCGCCCGTCCATATTCCACACCTTGATTTGCTTGTCCCGACTGCCGGTGGCCAGCCAGTTGCGCGTGGGATGCCAGTCGCAGGTGTAGACGGGCCCGTAGTGCGCTGTAAACTGGACCATGCACTTGTCCCACTTGCGCATGTCCCACAATTGGACGGTTCCGTTCTCTGAGACAGCGGAAAATATGTTTTGCGTGTGCGGACTGAACTTGACATCACGCACCGACTCCGAGTTGCTGAAGTAGGTGTTCACAGACTTGTCCGACCGTATGTCGAAGCACTTGATGGTGCCGTCCTGGGAGCCAGAGATTAAGATGTTGGGCTCGCTACTGTGGAAGGTCACGGTGTGTGCGGTGCGTTCGTGTTCGTTGTAGACGAGCAACTGCTTCTGCCTGCCGAACTTGGACAGATCCCACACGGAAACCACACCATTGGTGGCCGCTGTGGCCAGCAGATTGCTATCCAGAGTGGACCAGGCCACGTCGTTGGAGGAGTAGCTAAGATTCTGGTTCTTGCCGCCGCGCATATTGCATGATTCCGTGAAGCCATGATTGTTGATGGAATAGACCTTGAGTACTGTTTGGGCAGAGATTTGGTATTAGTTGTAGCCTTGGGAATAACATGAAATACTCCATTCTTACAGCTCCTTCCGGCCACCGCTATCTGTGTGTTATCCTTGTTCAGCGCCAAGGCATTCGCATGTCCCTCCAGGCAGATCCGTAGCGAGATGGTGGAGGTGTCCTCCAGGGAGTCGGGCATCCTGCCAGCAGTTGCAATTATTCCCCAAGGAGAGCCAACACAGTGCCAAAACCGCGATTTGATAAGGATACGCTGTAATGTTGTTTTTCTTTCTGTTTAGTATGACCGTTGCGGCGCGGCATCGTAATGCGAAAGACGTTCTGGAATACACCGCTCAAGGAAAATGAGGCTATTTTAAAAAGATCACAATTTAGAAAGCTATAAATTTAAAAATTCCTTTGCTAAGCTAATATATTCAGAGAAAAAATGAAGCAATGAAAAATTTAAATATTTATATTTAAGTAAAACTTTAATATATTTCATGGGATTTTCAGAGCACTCCATTGGTAAAGTTGCCACACTCCTGCATCTTCCAGGTACCGGCAGTGTGGCAACGCCACTCCATCGCCCTTGCTGTTTACAAAAATCACTGTTGCAATTTTTTCGGCAATTTCATCTTTCGGCGCAACAAGTTGCAGGTTTCGCAGCCAAAAACTAAAAAAGTGGCGCTCTCGAAATGCCGGACATCAAAATAACGCCGCTGGGCGCCGGCCAGGATGTGGGCCGCAGCTGCCTGCTGCTCTCAATGGGCGGTAAGAACATAATGCTCGACTGCGGCATGCATATGGGCTATAATGATGAGCGCCGTTTTCCGGACTTCTCGTACATTGTGCCGGAGGGTCCAATTACCAGCCATATCGACTGTGTGATCATCTCCCACTTCCACCTGGGTAAGTATTTGGTCTTTTGGGGCGGTGTTCCTTATCTGGTGAACCGGCGGCGCGCTCTAATCGCTTCTTTATCAATTGCGTGCATTCAGATCACTGCGGCGCCTTGCCCTACATGTCAGAGATTGTGGGCTACACAGGGCCCATCTATATGACGCACCCAACCAAGGCCATAGCTCCGATCCTGCTGGAAGACATGCGAAAAGTTGCCGTAGAACGAAAGGGCGAGTCGAACTTCTTCACAACGCAAATGATCAAGGACTGCATGAAGAAGGTGATACCAGTGACCCTACACCAGAGTATGATGGTGGACACGGATCTGGAGATCAAGGCATACTATGCTGGCCATGTCCTCGGTGCCGCCATGTTCTGGATAAAGGTTGGCTCGCAAAGCGTCGTCTATACGGGTGACTACAACATGACGCCAGACAGGCATCTCGGGGCCGCATGGATCGACAAATGTCGACCGGACCTGCTGATCTCTGAGAGTACCTACGCTACTACCATTAGGGATTCGAAACGATGCAGAGAGCGCGACTTCCTCAAAAAGGTTCACGAATGCGTGGCGAAGGGCGGCAAAGTGTTGATTCCCGTATTCGCTTTGGGTCGCGCTCAGGAGCTGTGCATTCTGCTGGAGACCTACTGGGACCGCATGAACCTTAAGTATCCTATCTACTTCGCTCTGGGCCTTACGGAGAAGGCCAACACCTACTACAAAATGTTTATCACATGGACGAACCAGAAGATTCGCAAAACCTTCGTCCACCGCAACATGTTCGATTTCAAGCACATCAAGCCCTTCGACAAGGCCTACATTGACAATCCCGGTGCCATGGTGGTATTCGCAACCCCGGGAATGCTGCACGCCGGCCTATCGCTGCAGATCTTCAAGAAGTGGGCGCCAAACGAGAACAACATGGTGATTATGCCCGGCTACTGTGTCCAAGGTACGGTTGGCAACAAGATCCTGGGAGGGGCCAAGAAGGTGGAGTTTGAGAATCGCCAAGTGGTTGAAGTCAAAATGGCAGTGGAGTACATGAGCTTCTCGGCGCATGCCGATGCCAAAGGTAGGGTTATCTAATCCCTTTCTTTCCTTGATATAATGAGAAATTTCTTCCCGCTTTTCAGGCATAATGCAGCTTATCCAGAACTGTGAGCCCAAAAACGTGATGCTAGTCCATGGCGAAGCGGAGAAAATGAAGTTTCTGCGCTCCAAGATCAAGGAGGAGTTCAATTTGGAAACCTATATGCCGGCTAATGGCGAAACCTGTGTGATTTCCACGCCTGTCAAAATACCCGTAGATGCCTCAGTTTCCCTGCTGAAAGCCGAGGCCCGCAGCTACAACGCCCAGCCGCCGGATCCCAAGCGACGACGGCTAATCCATGGCGTCCTTGTGATGAAGGATAATCGAATAATGCTGCAAAACCTGACCGATGCCCTCAAGGAGATCGGCATCAACAGGCATGTAATGCGATTCACATCCAAGGTCAAAATGGATGACCCGGGGCCAATGGTCCGAACCAGCGAGCGATTAAGGACTCTGCTTGAGGAGAAGTTGGCCGGATGGACGGTGACGATGCAGGAGAATGGCTCCATAACTATCGAGTCCGTGGAGGTCAAGATAGAGGAAGACGAGAAGGATCCTAAGCAGAAGACCATTTTGATATCCTGGACCAACCAGGACGAGGATATCGGAGCCTATATACTGAATGTCCTCCAGAATATGTGCTAGGTTTAAGGGCTGCCGAGAGGGCCACCACCACCCAATGAAATCCCAAACCCAAGCCTTAATTCCATAGATAAGCACAAAGTGTAGACATAAACTTTTTGAAATTTGAATGTGGGTCAAAATATACGTAAATATTCCAATAAGGACCGTGATTTCCTGTTTCTTTTGTTAGATTGTCTAATAGTGGCTCCTGTAGCTCCGCTTTTCGAGTCATTTTACACAAGTATTTTTGGGGAGAACACCGCACGCTCATGATTATATTCACATGGCCTTCACACCCTCATGGCACTTTTAAAAACATATTTAGTTAGAATTAACCTTATTTACGACACTTTTAGGGCTTTTTCGAATACATTTTGTAAAATCAATAAGAGAACTTTGTTATTTTTGAGTCAAATTCCTCCACAAAAGTGAAAAGTCCAACATCTAAGGGTTTTTTCGTTCGTTCCACGCTATTTATTCTTGGAGTTATTCTGAAAGTGTAACTTTAATAGGGTTCCAGGCGTCGCTCCGGTGCCTGGCACCGTATATATGCATTTATGTATCGTTGGAGCCGTTCGAACTGCTTTCTCGGGGAGCACACACACAGTATGGGACACCGCTTATGTGAGGGCGGCGGCACCAGAGATGATTTCAATCAGCTCGCGAGTGATGACAGCCTGTCGGGTGCGGTTGAAGGTGAGGGTAAGCTTGTCAATCATCTCACCGGCGTTCTTCGAGGCGTTGTCCATGGCCGTCATGCGAGAGGACTGCTCAGAGCAGGCGCCCTCCTTCATGCAGTAAAAGATGAGCGAGGCCAGCGAAAACTCGAGGTAGCTCTTGACAACATCGCTGTCGAGCGAGTCGTACACGGCCAGCTTCTCGGACTTCTCAACGGTGGAGCCGCTGTAGATTGGCAGTGAAGTGCACTGGTAGGACACCACGGACTTGAATCGATTGTAGTAGATCTTGCCCTCGGTGTAGTCGTAACCGGTCTGCAGCACCTCGTGCGCAATCTTCGAGGCGTCGAGGAAAGTGGGCGGCAGGCGACCGACCTCGTTGGCCACCATCAGGATGTTCTTGCCGTACAGACGGGAAAGAATCGAACGCGACTTGTCGCCAACGCAGAACACCTTGGTGTTCTGCTCATCCTGGGCCAGCTCGCCGCGGATCTGGCGAGCCACGCCAGTGTGCACAGCGCCGCACAGGCCACGATCCGAAGTCACTGCGATGAGCAGCTTCTTGGGCTCGGCCTTCTCGTCGGGCTGGATCTCAGTCTTCTCGAAGAACTGCTGGGCCCGACTCCGTAAGGACGCGCCGCCTTCAAGTCGCGCTCGGCACGAGCGTACTTGGCAGCGGACACCATCTTCATCGATTGCGTAATTTTCTGAATGTTCTTCACGGACTTCAGGCGGATGGAAATAGCCTTCAGGGTGGCCATGCCACGCTGCTGCTGGGCCAACACGGTGGCCTCCACGGCCAGGGGCAGCAAGAGCTGGGTGCGTTGCATCATCATCCTGTGAGCTGTCGAAGAATCGCTGCCTCGAAAATTAGCAAAAATTCAACTCGGCAAAATGGTCGGAGAAAATTCACCTGCGTTAAGTTGGCTGCGCCACAACGAGTGTTATAACACACGGCGGAGTTGCCACCCTATTCTCGTTGCACCAGCAACAAAAACATTCGCAATGAGTGGCAGCTCTTTCGCATAAACATAGCCTGAAGCCAGACTTTTTAAGAATTAATTTATTTAAATAATAATAATTAAACTTTAGAATAATTCCAAAATACCCTGGATTTAAGTCTTTGTTTTAATAGTTCTTAATTATTAAAGAAAATTATTTAATTAAACCATATCTTTTGCATCTCGGCGGTCAGCTGCTCACGCCAGCCGATAGGTTGGCCATCGCTAAGACTCACGATAAAAAAGCTGACGTACTCGACTCGCGAAAAGATACGAACAATATTTATTTATAATTTATTTATACGCGTGATTATCCCCGCCGCTCCGCTTCGCACACAACGACACCCGGACTACGGCTATCAGATCACATCCTTATTCCCGGTGGAGACGGCGATGAAATCGCTCAGCGGATAACTCTAGGCCACGGACGAGCGGACGACGCGCGTGTGTGTGTGTATGTTTGTGTGCGATAGCTGGAAAATTGTTGCTGCGCGAATTGGAGAGATATATCAGAGTGTGTGTTTGTGCGTGTGTGTGAGAGTGCACTGCAGAAGGGGGGCATGACGGAGATAAGGATAAAGATAGACGGATAGTGCAAACGGCAAAAGTGAGAAGAAATCAACACACAAGAACAGCAGTCAGTGCCTTTCCTCCGCTCTGCTCCGCATCCGCATCCGCAATCCTCGACAGCAACAGTGTGTGTGTGCCTGCGCAGAGCGATTGTGTTTGTTGTGTTCGTTTGTTGTTGCTGCAGCTGAGTCGTGACACAACAGTAACAACTGGCCAAGCAATATCTAAGACACATGATGTGGTCGTTCTTCTCGCGCGACTCCTCGAAAGACTTCCCCTACGACATCGGCGAACCGGTGGGCGGCTTCGAGGACTACTCCATATGGACGCTGCACAAGGCCAAGCGCAAGGCAACGCTGGAGGAGGTGTCCGTTTTTGTCTATGACATCCGCAGCGGTTCTGATACGAAATGTGAACTGGCCAAGGCGTCGCTGAAGCGTCTGAAGACGTTGCGTCACCCCAGCATCCTGCAGTACTTGGACTCGTTGGAGACGGACAAGATGCTGTACGTGGCCACGGAGGCAGTGGAACCCTTGGGCACTTACTTTACCAAACTGGCTACTGACAACGTGCAGAAGGGCCTGTACCTTGCTTGGGGCATCTTCCAGATCACAGTGAGTACTTTGATTCTCCTTGATTACCCTCACTTAACTAATATCCTTATCTTTGCAGCGCGCCTTGTCCTTCCTCAACAACGATGGCAATCTGCGCCACAACAACGTTTCGGCCTGGTCGGTGTTTGTCAATGCCTCTGGTGAATGGAAATTGGGCAGCTTGGAGTATGTATCGGCGGCAGATGGTAATCCCATGCCTCCCGTAAAAATACCCGTGACCCTGGAGGTCTACGACTCGCCGGAGAAAAATGATCAGAGCAAGCTCAAGGCGGCCACCAAATGGTAGATATATAACCTTCTTATAAACTCCCTTAATAATTAATTGCAATCCCTTGCAGTTCCGTGGACATGTGGGGCCTGGGCTGTCTGGTGTGGGAGGCCTTTAATGGAGTGCTCAAGCAACGATCCAACCTTAAGGACATCGAGCACATACCCAAGTCCCTGCAATCCCTGTACTGCGAACTTGTCGGAGCCTCGCCATCGAACCGGCCGAATCCAGCTGATATAATCACACGTTGCCGCAAGCCGGGAGGCTTCTTCAAGAATGATTTGGTGGACACGCTACTCTTTCTTGAGGAAATTCAAATAAAGGACAAGGCGGAGAAAAATCGCTTCTTCAGCGGACTGACCACACATTTGGACAACTTCCCGGACAATGTGTGCAAGCACAAGATACTTCCGCAGCTGATAACAGCGTATGAGTATGGAGATGCGGGTTCAGCCGTGCTGGCACCCATGTTTAAGGTTGTCTATAGAATTTATAACCCTTTTCTGGCATGCATTTAACACGGAGATGTTTTGCAATCTCTTGCAGCTGGGCAAACTGCTCGACGAGGTGGAGTACCAGAAACGGATTGTGCCCTGTGTGGTCAAGCTGTTCGCTTCCACGGATCGTGTGACTCGATCGCGACTGCTGCAGCAGCTGGACCTCTTTATCGCGCACCTGCAGCCACAGGTGGTCAACGATCAGATATTCCCACAGGTGGCGCACGGTTTCCTGGACACCAATGCCACCATACGCGAGCAGACAGTCAAGTCGATCATCCATCTTGCCCCCAAGCTCAACTACAACAATCTCAATGTGGAGGTGCTGCGACACTTTGCCCGCCTGCAGGCGCGCGACGATCAAGGTGGCATTCGAACTAATACGACCGTGTGCCTGGGCAAGATAGCGCCGCATCTGCATCCGCAGGTTCGTCAGCGAGTACTGGTCTCTGCCTTTGTTCGCGCCATGCGGGATCCGTTTCCGCCGGCACGAGTGGCTGGCGTCCTGGCGCTAGCCGCCACCCAGCAATACTTTTTACTCAGTGAAGTGGCCAATCGTGTGCTGCCGTCTCTGTGTTCCTTGAGTGTGGATCCGGAGAAGACGGTTCGGGATCCGGCGTTTAAAACTATACGCGGCTTTCTGGGCAAATTGGAGAAGGTGTCGGAGGATCCTAGTTTGCGTGAAACCATGGGTGAGTAAAATAACCTTAGCTAAACGTGTTATCTCAATTACTTATTGAATTACATTCCATTCCACAGAGGCCGATGTCCACACGGCCACTCCATCGATTGGTAATGCGGCGGCCACTTGGGCGGGCTGGGCGGTGACGGCCGTTACAGCCAAGTTCTATCGCAGCCAAAGTGATTCGTCTCGACCCAGACCGCCTTTAACTGGACGCAATTTGTCCAAGCCAGCATCACTCGGTGAGTCTCTCTCTCTAGCTAATGCGATTTTCAAAGCATATAATTGGATTTTTAATGTTCTCATTGTTCAGAGCAACCATCGAGCAGCAGCCTATCGACCACCACGAGCAGTGTTACCTCAATGACGTCGCTGGAGCATGAAAGCAATGACACCTCCGCCTCGGCCTCGGATTACGGCAACAACGATTGGGACAACGAAAACTGGGGCGAAATGGATGTGAGTATTGAAGGGTTCTTAGAAGTATTTCTAGGATTTAATAAATCCATTTATAGACCTCTCAGGATCCTAGCAGTCCGCTGGCAGCAAGCTCCAACAATGGCACCTCGATGGCTGCCAATGCCTTGAATGAAGTGCGCGATGGGTGGGACAACGAGGAGTGGGGTAGTCTTGAAGAGGATCCGGTAAGTAATTGACTACCTAAAAGTAATAATTAATCTAATCTAATCACTTTCCATTTAGTGCGAGGAAGAGGAGCAGGCGGAGCAGGAGCAGCAGCAGCAGCAACTGGCCAGACAATCGATATCATCCACCACGTCATCCAGTCAGCATCACCAGCGCCCGCCGCTGCCACAACAGCATCCGCATCAGCAGCTGCTGCAGCAGCATGAACTGAACGACCTGATCGAGCCGCTGGCCAAGCTCAACTCGCATGCCATGCTAAGGCCAAAGGAGCTGCCCAATCTCTCCAGCAGCAATACTTCGCCCACGTCCACGGCCACTGCCAATTGCAATAATATAAGCCCGCCTTCGTCGCATTTGAATAATTCGACGCATAATGCCAATTGGAATAGCGATTCGTGGGCTGATGGTGAATTTGAGCCGCTGGAGGAGTCGGGATTGGGTACGTTTATAGCAAATAAACCCTATTTAACGCCTAAAGTAATACCTCCATTTCTAGGGAATGCCAAACTGGATGAGGCGCGGCGTAAGCGCGAAGAAAAAAAGCTACAGCGTCAGCGGGAACTGGAGGCGCGCCGGGCCCAGCGGGCGACTGGCCCTATGAAGTTGGGCGCCAAAAAGCTTTAAAAGTAATCAGCGGATAACAGCGCCCGGTGTGTGTGCGCCTGTTATGCAGCCTGTTATTTGCATCTACGTACATCTAAGTCCCAAAAGTGTATTTGTATATTTCTGTGTGTGTGTCCCTATTCCCCGTGTCCACCCGTTTTCCTGTTTCCCGTGTATTTTTTGGGTACCAGTTTGCATTAAATGCAATCACAGTGTCTCGAGCCTCCATTTCGATTCCATAACATAGCCATATATTGTAATGCTAATGCTGGCACGATATTACCTAGCATCTCTAACTAAATTTCCAATGTAAAGCACTGTAATTAAACCTGTAATTTATATTTATAAAAACAAAAACAAACAAAACAAAACAAGGAATGAAGCAACCAACCAACCAGTAGTTAGTAAATTACTTCAAATTTATACTTTTATTAATCGAGTCTAGTAGAGAATAATGATCCTTGTGGATCCTTGAGCATGATTGTGGGAGAGACCGGGATATAATCAATATATCTATGATTGGCGAATAAAGTCTTTTTCTCCATCTCCTATCCAATCTTTGAGTATGCCTGCGTGCGTCTGTGTTTTTTCCCACTTATTTACGATGATAAAAAGAGTTGAAGTATTCCATAGGAAAGCCGAGAAATGCAAAAATGAAGTATTTAACAAAAACAAAAATCTAAACGTATTTTTGCGAATGGAGCGTAACCAAAATTGTGAATTTTAATATAAATAAATATATAAATAACAATATTTTTATATAGCTCATAATAATAAATGGAAACGAATTATATAGAACCAAAACCAATATATAGGAGAATCTGAAAAATCAAGAAACAACCGCAAGCAATTATAGAAAGGAAACAATTTTAAAGCTTTTTCAGCAATACATTTAATTATGTATATGTAGTAGAGAAATGCACTTGTTAACTAGGATCGAAAGTGATTATGTTTTCCTCCCTCCTCTTATTAATTTTCAGATTTATTTTCTGCCATTTTTGCGTTAAGCATTATTCCCCCCCAAAAAAGAGTTTTAACCAAATAAGAAACCAGCACCAAGCGCAAGCCATTTTTGCATGTCAAACTAGTAGCGTTTAACTACAATTTTTGAATGTCCTGTACATACATATAGATACCGATATACATACATACATATATATACCTAACATATATATGCCGATTTTTTCCAATACCTCAATATCAGTGTACAATTTTTCCATAATATATTTTTGAAATACAAAACGAAACTAAGTAATATCCGAAAGAGGAAATTAAAAACAAAATACGAAGAAAATGTTGACTTTTTGAAATCTCATTGTTGTCGCAGCGTGTACCACCACATACATACATGTGTATATTTGTAATTAAAGCAACTCGATTCCAATCCAAGTCAGCCCAAAACCCCGCGCCTTCTTTCCCCCTACTCTCTGGACCCCTGGCATTTAGATTGGCATTCATTTTACTTAATCAACAAATTCTCTCAGCAAAATTTAACATTAGCAACAAAAAGAATTATAATAAACAAAATGAAGAAAGAAAAACGGAAACGGAAATTAAAAAGCAAACCAAACCATATGGAAAATTTATTGTTTAGACAAATTTTTAAGACTGCAAAAAATAAGAAAAACCAAAATTAATTGAGGGTGGTAATAGTAAATTACAAGAAAACTAAATTATTTAGTACTAATCATCAGTAAAATAAATTTTGAAATAATAACAAAAAACAAGCAACGCAAATTGTATTGTCTCTTGGGGAAGTCCCCTCTATTTGCAGGTAAGTCTTATCTTGAATTTTACAAATGGATATCAATGGCACATCTGGTTGAAAAGATATATTTATATATATATAGATATATGTATAAGTTGGTTAAATGAAGTCTGTTTTGGCAAATGTTTCTGCTGGCCATTCGAAAAGTGCAACAATCCAAGTCCAAGCCTTTGTTTATTAAGCCTCCGCTGTTGTTTAAGCAGCTGTTTTTTATCCACTCTTCGAGGATCGTTAAGATGGATTAATGCAGATATATACAATATATACCTGGCTAAAAACTCAAAAGAGTAAGGCTAAATACTATATATAGTTGGTTTTGGTAGTTAGGGTAAAAGTATGGTTTTTGGTTTAGAAAGTAAGTTAATTCGAAAGTTTAATGCGTATACATTTTCTGTGATGGCTTTAATTAGGAATGTTAATATCCTATTAGACTTTAATATTAAAAAAAAAAACTAAAAATTTGATGAATTTTGTAAAATTTTTACCCGTTAAAAATTTTCTAAAATGACAAAAAAAATTTGTTTTGTTAGGCATGGGTAGATCGACTCGGCTGTTCATGCTGATCAAGAATATATATGACTTATATGGCCGGAAATGACTCCTTCACAGCGTTGAAAACTTCTGAATGAAATAAAATAATAATATTGAAAAGGTAAAATATTTTAGTTGTTGGCGCAAAAGTAAGAAATCATTATACGTAAATAATTTATAATTTTTGAGTATACATTTGTAGATATCGCATTGAAAAATAATGCATAGCTAGCACAGCTTATCTCTCCTATATCATCTATACAATATATACATATAGGATATAATAGTCATGGTTAAGACTTACCTGAGTAGAGGACACACGCTTATCATTTTTCGTTAACTTCAATTTATCATCAAAATAAGTTTCCTTCTGTTTATCCAGATGCATTGGCCACGTCATGTTTTTGGCGGGTCGCAGAGCAATCACTATCACTTCCACTATCACTATAGGTGTTAACACTGGTAGGGCCACGGACAGACTAAACCCGGAGCGGAGGCTAGCGCCTCTATTTATAGTCCCCGAGCAAAGAGAACAGAGAAAGTGTGAGCGAGAGAGAGCCTATCTCTAGAGACGTGCATAGAGAGTTAGAGCGAAAGAGCTATCTCTATAGATACTCAGAATAGAGAGTAGGGATGCATAGAGAAAATGAGAGAGAGTAAGCTAGTGATAGAGTGAGGAGGGAGGGAGAGCTATTCGCTGCTATTACAATATTATATTATTAGAAGGTAACCATTTAATGGGGTGTTTATTTTCTTTGTTTATTTCCTATTTAATGTAACATTTATTAGGTAAATAACTATATATATTAAAAAATATTTATTAAAGCTTTTGAAATTAAATTAGTAATCTATAAATGTTTATAACTTTTAATTATTTCTTTGCGCCTTGTTAATTGCCTATTAGCAAGTGTGCATAGCATACTTATTTGAGCTCAGCAAATACAATTCGCTGCGGCTCATTATGCTCTCCGCCCACTCTGGCGGCTAATTGAAATGAGTCAATCCGCCCCGATTAGTGCTCCTTGGCGGTAATCCCCCAATGTCACGTCACGTTTATGTACGCCAAGTGCCCCACAGAGAGCTATTTTTAAGATTTTTTTAAGATCTGCGACCGCACAACTTTGCTTTTCTCACGCGCTCGTTTCGCTGTTAATTTGTTGCAACTTGCACTGTTTCCCAGCCATGGGAGTCGTCCTAAGGGGGTTGTGTGAAAACTAATAAAAAAGGGGAGGAAGAAATGTGTTAATTAGGCCTTGATTTATATATGAACTTCTTTAGAAATTTGTGGTCTAATCTAAACTCTTTAAAATAAGGTATTTCTTCTATGATTTTTTACTATAGTCGCACCCCCTTAAATTCCCATCCAATCTCCGCCCTTGTTGCCACCTCTGGCTGCAGCCCGCCCATCTGTCCGCCTCAGAAACGTTCCGCCCCCAAGCTTCCCGCCCCAATCTTTTGACGGAGCTGCCCTTGCCGTGAGTAATTGCCCCGCAAAACACTCAGTAAAATCTCGACTCCGGATAGCAGGGCCTAAAATAGGGTACGCCAAGTGGACGCCAGTGGGATCTCGAACTAGAGTAGATAAAATCCTGAACCAGAACCGCAGCAGTGGCAAAGGAACTCTATTAATAGGCGCTGAAGTCAACGTGATGGAGCTGCACTTGGCATTACTCATACGCCCTGCCTTCCACCGCTCGCGTGTCTAATTGGACTGGAAAAGCGAAAAGCGAAAAACGGAAAACAAAATAAGGCGGAGTGCGATTACCGGCGGTGCAATTAAATAGTTTGTCGTGATAGAGTGAGCAAATATTGAGATCATTATGGTAATTCCGCCGCCGTCTGCCCTGCAACCATTCAGCATCTTTGGCACTCATTAAACTTGAGGCATGTTTGCTTATGGCATTTGTTGTTTTTTTGGTTTGTTCCTATAATTTGCAGTGTGCGATGCTCGGATTTGTCACCGATATTGGATCTGACGATTCGGCACGCAGGTGTGCGGCAGCAATACAGCAAAAATAATACATTTTACCCTATGCGAAATTCACATAATATTCTCGCTTGAAGCGGTCGCAAAATGCATTAAATGCTGTTAATATTTGCCATTGTAGTTTCTATTTCTGTTTTTGTTTCGGTTGTAATACCCTGAAATAGTAAAATTTAAGGGTATATTAGACATACATCACAATATTACTATATTAATGTATATATAAATGTTGTTAAGCAGTTTAAGATACTTTTTAACAAAGGTTTACTAGTAAGATATCTGCCTTTGTTTTGTAAAAATAAATACTATGATAATTGCAATTATATTTTTATTTCTTCGTGATATAATAATGTCTTAAATAATATCGTTACATAAAATTAATCTAGAATCAACTCGAAATAAGGTTTAAGATACTTTTAACATTTGTAGATACATCTTTTAGTAAGAGATTCAGTTATTACAATTACAATTAATATTTTTCAAAAATATATCTATATATGGTAATAATTTACACGATCTTTTTCAAGTCGTTACACTACAGAATATCGTAGGTATTTCTTACCAACTTCGCGCATTCAATTCAATCAAAGCGCAACGCTCTAGCTATGGCTCGCCTTTGGCTTTGTTTTCGGCACCTTTTGTTGTTGCAAAAATTGTTTAAAATTTCAAATTAGCTGCAGTTTGTGCAGTGGTTAATGTTTCTACATTTGTTGCTGAACATTTGTAGGAGCGGTCTCCTTAGCATTTTACACTGGCCCTGCATTCTAGAACAACTCGCCAGCAGCAGCCACCTACTGCTCCGGCGGCTGATGCCATTTGTTAAATAAATAATAGATCGCTGAGCTCTTTACAAGCTGTCAGATCTAATGACCGTGAATAAATACGGGGGGAAGTTGGCTCTATCAACACCTTGGCATCCCTGATTTTATTATCTCATCAAGAAAGAAGGGAAAAACTTAAAATTGCATCCAGCTACGTCAATTATACACTTATCACAAGATTTGCCAGATAATATAGCCAAGGTTTTGTTAATATTTAATTTTCTTATAAAACTAATCCAAAGGTGCAAAGTTTAGACTCAATGTTTGTCCTTTGGATTATTTAAATTGGACCTTAAACCCTTTATCAATATCAGGTGATGCTAAGAAAGTGTTTAAATAGTGACTCAATGCAGTTGCGAAATAGCTGCAGTATGAAAGTTGTATTTATAATACCTTAATACTACTACGACGTAATTATAAATTAGTATACTTATTTCATTGTGTTAGTAATA